TTAATATAGATTTAGCTATAGTTTCTATATAATATAGACTTATTATAATAATAATAATAATAGGCTTTTTTTATTATTATTAATATATAAGATTAATATATTATATCTTATAATATATTAATTTATTAAAGGTATAGAGTTTTAAAAGTATTATTATAATATAAAGTAGCTTTTACTTATATTAATATAAGTAAGTCTATATACTACTACTAAATAGGTATAAAGTATTTACACTACCTTTTTAAAGCACTGCCTTAAAATTCTATAATAGCTTTAAGCTATAGAGGAGTTTTAAAGGGCCCTTTTAAAAGGAGGGGAGTAATATAAAGGGGAGGAGCCTTTATTTAAAAGGAGAGTAAGCTATAAGGGTCTGTATTTATAAAGTAAAAGGGGATTATCTTATTATAAGGAATTTTTAAAGGCGCTACTATTATTATTTAAATATAATGCTAGCTTAGTAATTTATAAGGGTTTTTAATAGTTATATTAATCTTAAAGTCTTAATATTATTAATAATATCTTAGTATAAACCTATAAATAGTTTATAAGACTACTAGTATTTAGTAAAGGAAGTGTTAAAAATTCTTAAAAGGTTTTTAAGATTTTTTATTCTTTTTTTTAAAAGGATTAATTTAATTATATTTTTAAGAGCTAGTAGTATAAAAGTATTACCTTTTATTACCTAGCAGTCTTATATATTCTTAAATACCTTTTCTATACTTACTAAATCTTATATTATATTAAGTTTAATTTTAAAAATTAAAAGGAAAAGTGCTAATTTATTTTCTTTTTTTTTCTTATATTTCTTTTCTTATCTTTTAAAAGTATAATTCTTAACCTAACTTTTTACTAGCTTAATTAAATAATCTTATATAATATAGATTTTTTTAAAATCTTTTATAGCTATAGAGTAGTATATTATATTAAATAACAGACTAGTAATTTAACTAAGTTCTTTAATAAATATACCTCTTTTTACTTATAAGAGGTATACTAAAGACTATAGAATTTTTTTAAAATAGTTAAGTAGTTTATAGTATAGCTTAAACTTAAAGTAATTATTAATAATAAAGATTTTAATATTTAAGAAGATAGTCTTATATAAAATACACTTCTATTTATATATTAACCTTAAAGCAGGTTTAATAATTCTTTTAATAATATCTAGTGCTTTTTTTTTAAAAGTTATAAAAATAATAAAAAAAGATATTATTAATAAACCTTTTAAAATAAAGTATTTTAAAATAATATTTAATATATTATTTATATTTATTAATATAAAGGTTTATAATATTTAAAAAGTATACTACTCTTATTACTAAATCTTTTTTTTAATAAAAGTACTTTAACTTACTATTTTTATTAATATATTTAAATATTTAAGAATTTATTTATAATTTTATATAGTTTTTTAATAAGTTTAACTTTACTAAAGCTATATCCTAGCTTTAAGTATTTTAAAAATACTTTAAAAGTATACTATTAAAAGATTATTTAATAAAATATTTATATAGTAAGTAATAATATTAGCTATATATAAATAGGCAGTTTTCTTATATAGAATTTATAATAATAAAAGCATTTTATAAACTTATTTACTTAATACTAAGATTTATAAAAAAGCCTTAATTATAAGCTTTAAAAGTTTTAATAGTATTTTAGCAGTAGGTTTATATATTACTAAATAGTAAGGTATAATAGGTTTAAATATATAAGGTTTTTTATAAATCTTTAGTAAATTAGTAAATATTAAAAAGGTTCTCTTATATTATTTAAATAACTATAAAAACTATATCTCTTATTTTATTAATTTATAAAGATTATATAAGTATTTTAAATTAACACTTAAAAGAGCTTTAGTACTATACTAGGCTTAAGAGTTAATTATAAAAGCATTATTTTATAATATATTATTATATATATTAAGATTTTATTTAAAATATTCTCTTGCCTTTTTATAATATTAAGATAAAGATATAACTATAACTCTTAGGTTTTTATTAAATATTATAGCTAATAATTTCTTATTAGCTAGGAATTTATAAATATACTATACTATAGCCTTATCTTTTAAGACTTTTAGTAAGTTACTAATAGGTTTTAATTAACTTAAAAGGTTAAATTTCCTTTATTAAAGGCCTTATTTAATATAGTATTTAGCTTTAGGTAGCTTTTTATTAAAAGGCATGCCTAGGTTATAATTAGGATTATAAAGCTTATTTTATATATTACTAAAATAATATTTCTAGTAAATATATTTTTTAAAATTATCCTATACTTTAAAAAGAAGAATAGTATTAAATTTAGTATATAATAAATAATATATGCTTAATATAAGATTATTCTTAATATCCTTTAAAATAATTACCTCTTTTAAGATATAAATATTCTTTTTAATACTTTTAGCAGCTAGTACTTTACTTAGTATATTAAAGAGAATTATTACTTTTACTTTTTAAATAAGTATATATAATATACTATTAGGATATATAAATAAATTATTTTATTAAAACTTTTTCTATAGCTAGACTACTTTTAAGTCTTTAGCTTCTTTTATATATATTTATTTATAGTTTAAGAACTGGCTTTTTATTTTATTCTAGATTTCTCCTTTTTTAATTAAGCAGGTTTACTTAATTATTTTTAAAAGACCTTTTTCTTAGCTAGACTTAAACTTTTAGTTAGCTTTAGTAAGACTTTAATTATATAATGCTATTAATATCTTACCTTTAGCTAAGGCTTATTAAACTAACTCTTTAATATACTTATTAATACTATTATAAAGTGTTTTTAAAGTCTCTGCTACTTTACTTATAAAAGGAGTTGCCTAGTTTTTAACTTTAAGTTTTATTAATAACTTTTATAAGTTAGCTATATTTTAAAATTTAATAATCTTAATAACTCTTATAGTAAGTTTACTTATATCTTTATAAACTATAATAAAGTTTACTTAAATTTAGGCTAGCCCTTCTTTTTTAATAAAGGGCTAGCTTATAGGCATATTAGATATTTAAATATCTTATAACTTAAAGAAGTTTTTACTATAGTAAAAGTAAACTTACTGCTTATAAATAGTCTTAGTATTTATAAGCATCTTCTAGATATATATTTTAAGTTTAAAATGCCCTTTAAAAAAGGTTAATTTAGCACTCTTTACTTTAATATAAAGGTTAAAGCCTTTATTTTTATATTAAAGAATAAAACCTATAATTTACTATTAGGTGCTTTATTATTTTCCTTCTTAGCTTTAAGGTATTCCTTTAAGTACTAAAACAGTAGCTTAGTAATATATTAAATCTAAGGTAAAAAAGTATATAACTTTTTATATAATTAAAGCGTTTAAAGGCTTTTATAAACTTAACTATATTTTTTAATAATATTAGTAAAGGTATAGAATTAAGGTTTAAAATAGTCTTTATATATAACTAGGATTACTTTAATATAATCTTTAGTTATTATAAGAGAACTATAAGTAACTAAATGCTATTACTTATTAGTAATAATAGTAATTAATAAGGTAATTAAAAGAAGGGAGGTAAATAGCTTAGCCTTATTATAGTTATAAAGGTTAATAATTACTTTTATAAAATAAAAGACTTAGTAAAGTAAAAGAATTTATATAGTAAATTCTTTTATAAGCTTAAAAAGTAATAAAAACTAAAAGAGTTATTAGCTAAAACTAGATAATAACTTAATAAACTAAGTGCTATTATGTTTTATTATGCTAAATAACTTTTTAATAGGCTAATTTATTTCCTTATATACTTACTATTAATATATTTTATATATTATAATATAATAATAATAATAATAATAATAATAATAATAATAATAATAATAATAATAATAATAATAATAATAATAATAATAATAATAATAATAATAAAAAGAAGAAGAATAATAATAAACTTATTTAATTATAAAGTATATTATTATTATACTTTTATTATAATAATTATAATTAAGTTATAATTATATTTAATTATTATAAAATTACTAAATTTACTAATTTAAAATAAAATATCTTTATTTATATTATATTAATATTATAACTTATATATATAAATATACTTTTAAATAAATTAATAAACTTTTTATAAATTAATATTTTTATATTTTAATAAAGCTAGTATAAGAAATATAATTATTTTAAAAGCTTATTTAATAACTATATTAAATTTAAAATTAAATAAATAAATCTTATTATAATATTTTTTTCTTAAAATATTAAAAAGAATATATATATTAAATAATTATTAAAAAAATTAAAAAATAATATTAAAAATAAAAAGAATTTAAAAAGAGAATTTAAATTATAAAAAAATCTTAATAAATATAATTTTAATTATATTAATTAAGTTATAAGTTTATATTAAATATAAAAAAAGTATTAAATATAAAAGTTAAAAATTAAATTATATTAATTCTTAAACTTTTTATAAAAGTATAAATTATTTACCTTTTTATATTTATAAATATTTTATAAAGTTATAATCCTTTTTAAATAAAGCTATAAGCTTTAATAATAAAGTTATTTTAATTTTATTAAATATTTATAATTATCTTATATTAAGAATTATAATAATTACTTTATACTTTTATTTTAAAATATATAAGGTTTTTAATTAAATTTTAATATTTTTTCTTTAAGTAAGAGTTTATATACTTTTTAAAACTTACTTAATAGTTATTTTATAATAATATTTATATTTAAAAAATAATTTTATATAAATTTTTTTTAAATTAAATTCTTTTATAATAATTATAATAATTATTATTTTAATATATTAATTATACTTCTTATACTTATTATAGTAATAACTTTATTATATTAATTAAATTAATTTTTTATTAGCTATAGTAAGGATAAGTGCTTAAAAAGTAAAACCTATACTGCCTAAGTAGTAATACTCTTTAACAGTTAGCACCTTACACAGGACATAAGCTTATATCAAACAGCCCGGCGGCTAACAGAACCACTGGGCGAGTTCAATCCCACAATGTCATCTGTCGATGGGTACTATAACGCACTCAGGCAATCTCTGCCGACAACATCTCCTGTCACAAGGTCGTGGAAGGGTGATGAAAACAACCTGTTTTCTCCCCTCGCCCTGTACTTCAGAGGTGATGACTTTCCAACAGAAAAGAAGGGTGAGAAAACCATGATTGGACAGAATGGTTGGCTTGAGTGTACAGAGCAAACCGACCGCAACAAAATAAAACAGACGCCACAGAAGAAGACGGGCATATTGGATGGCATCCGGAAGATTGCGAAGGATGTGGTAAGTGACGGGACGGAAGAGCACTAGGAGGAAGGATTCAAACTCATAATGACCAGTCTGGCCTTCATCAGAGTCGACGAACTCAACCAGCTGCGAAAGGATCGGTGGGTACACATGCCGCAGTATCGCTTGATCCCAGGGAACAAAGCCTCTTGTACTGTGAGCTCGAGTTCAACCTTACGACGGCTCTCAATACCTACATCAGCGAAGAGCTCGACAAGGGCCACCTCTCCCCAGACAATCTGAAGAGGGTATCGGATGAATGGCACCAGAAAGGCCACCACAAGGTGATCGGCTTCAGATATGACCTAGAGACACAGCTGGAGCTCGTCAGTCTTCACATCAACGACTTCAGCTTCTACGGCCGCCGACAAGGCAATACTACCGAGATCGCCCTTCTGCTGAATGAGATGAAGATGAATGCGCGCAACATGCGTATCCGGACCTTCTGCCAACCGGATACTACTGTTGCGAAGCACCTCGTTGACTCGCAGTCGCTGTTTAACTTGATCAACGCTTCGGCCAGTCAGCAAATTGCACTAGCGGAAATAGCCCGTTTCTTCAAGCTGCTCTTGAAGTGATGAATCTCACGCCCTAAGCTCTAAAGGGTAAACAGAGCACCACCACAAACCTGGGGAAAACGGAAAAGGAAAAAAAAGAGAAAAAAAATCGGAAGAAAGAAAAGAAGCCCCTGTTCATTGAGAGCCGATTTTCTCCAACCTGCTGCACGCAGGGCATCTTTGAGGCCCCTCCTCCCATGTCACATCTCGTGCATGTATGATCGCGATGGTCAAGCAAGAAGGGTGTCCGGGGTCGCAGACCTTGGACGATATGGTAATGGGGGTATGTGTACTTATGAATCGTTAGGCTTTTGATAGATATGATACCTATTTGGCAACGATGTTGTTCATCATGACTTCCGCAGTGTGTTGGTGAGCCCAGTACTGATTTCATGGCAGACAAACAACAGCAGCATTGCCTCCAAACGCAGTGTTGAGCGTCTGTATCATTCGAAGGAAACCCCTTTCTTCCGTTATTTTGTCCCGAAGTTCCAAAGGAGGGCGCCTCTCATTAACAGAGGCTATTGGCTCCGCCTGCGGGCAATTGATGTCATAGTACAGCGCTTCCTTTCTAAAGAGACAGCAGGGAAAAAGCTTGTCATCAATCTTGGTTGCGGCAGGTAAGTGTTTGCGTGCTGCGTACCTAGTCTTGATTTTTTGGCTATGTAAGCTCACGATCTCAAGCGATGTCCTGCCCTGGCAGTGCCATGCTCGCAACCTGGCTTCAAACGATGTCCTCTTCGTTGATGTGGACTATCCAGACCTCATTCACAAGAAACGGGCCGTTGTTCTGCAGACTCCAGAGCTACGGGAGCTTCTTGGAGATGACTATACCCTGAGTGACGAGGGTAAAGATGGCCTGCTCTTACGCAGCACCAAGTATTGCCAGCTTGGCTGTGACCTTCGGCAACTCGACAGACTACGCACGTTATTGGGATCAATCGTCAGCTTACCTGAGTGTGCCATTCTGTTCGTGGCTGAAGTTTCAATAACTTATATGGACACTCACTCTGCCGACGCTCTCATCGAATGGGGAAGCACTGTTGGCCGAGGTATGTACCGGCACCCTGATCTGCAACAACATGTTCTTTGTCCCCATCTTTGTCCTACGCATACCCCTTCCAGGACAGCTGCTTGACAGAAGAATCTGCTTTTTACTAATGCTTAGATAGAAAACAACTTTTGTCTCTTGGAACAAATACTTCCGTATGGGAATGGCCATCCCTTTGCTCAGCAGATGCTCAGCCATTTCGCCAAGCTCAACACTCCTCTACGCTCCGTTGAGACGTATCCAACGATTGAGAGTCAAGTCAATCGGTTCCAAGAGCGCGGGTGGCCTCATGTCGACATAAAGGACCTGTGGCAAACGTGGTCGAGTGAAGAGTTTGTGAGCGACTTCGAGCGGGTAGCTCTTGACGACGTCGAGCCCTTCGACGAGTGGGAAGAGTTCATACTTTTTGCACGCCACTATTTCATCCTTCATGCAGCTACCGACTCGAGTTACGGCTCGTTCCTACAGACAGCTGAACCAATCACCGGCCAACCGCCGAAGAAGTTCGTAGGCCTGCGCGCCGAACTGAGTGGCAATATCGCAAAGGAAACCAGCCGCCGCCGATTCGGCAGTGGCATGATCCTTAGCAATGAGTTTGGGCAACGATTCGCACTCAATCTATTGGGAATGAGTGGTAATAGCAGAGAGCCGACGTATGATATCTTCTCGCTTGCCAGTAACGGCCAAACACCGCCTCAACTGCCGTCGGCTGGACCATCTGCTCGGATGTGTTTCACGTTGACAGACCTGGGAGAATATGGGGTCATGCTAGTAGGTGGCCGTACGTCTCCCTCCAACGTCCTGTCGGACTGTTGGCTCTTCGAAAGAGGTGCCAATCCACGATGGCGCATGGTGCCGAAACTGCCCGTTCCTTTATTCCGGCACTCTGCTCTTCGTCTGGGGAATTCATCCCTTCTCGTCGTATTTGGTGGGAAGAAAAGCTCGTCGCAGCTCTCGGATGATGTCTTTCTTTTCAATCCACAAAGGGCTTGCTGGCAAATATGCCAGGTGACGGGGCCTGCCCCCGAAAGCTGCTTTGGATCCTTTGTTTGCAACTCGATCCCTGCGTCAAGCATTACAGGTGACTATTGTGGCATCTTAGCAGGAGGAATCTCGAAGAACGGCTGTGTTGCTACTAAGCACTATATGTGGCGGATAAATGTCGACCACGCTCAGGTATGTTGAAGCACCATTTGTTGGCCTGCTCCTATATCGAGCAACCTGTGCTGTCATTATTATACCATCATCCGCCTCGGTTCTAGCTGACGTACTGCTCCAGCCAACCATTTCCTATCGTCCCATAACCATCAGTCACTCTGACAGCCGGCTCATCTCTTCGTTTGGTGCCCAAGTCGTCCACTTGGGATCCAATGTGATGATTTGTGGCGGCATGGGGGCTGACTCGTGCTTAAACGGACAAACTCTAACAACAATAACGCCGTCTGCTGAAGGATTTGAGGTGAAGGATTTCTCAACTCCAAGCAATGGCGAGAGAATGCCTTTCATGATTGGGTCCTCAATGGCACAAGATGGCGATTCTCTCCTGGTGTTCGGTGGAGGAGCAACATGCTTCTCGATGGGGACATTTTGGGAAACAGGCGTTTACAGGATTCGGTTGCCTGACTCTATCCTGGACTCTATTCACTCCATCTCGCGAATCAACAGTTCGCCTGGGTCAACCATAAATCTCATTGGAAGCCGAAAATTCGTGGCGGCCTCGACAACTGCAGACTTGGATGACTCAGACAACCTGGATCAAAAGAGTCGGAGGGTATCCCTGACCCCTGTGCCCACTATTCAGCTCGAGTCCGCCGAACAATTTGGTGCAATTGTTCGTGAAGGAAAGCCTGTCATCCTTAAGGGCTGCAACATAGGACAATGTCAACGCAAATGGTCTCCTGAATTCCTGGTGAGCCAAATTGGCGCGAATGAAAAGGTCGGTTCTTCCGCGTTTCTAACTCACATCTGGACGGGATCCTGAACTGACCGCAATAGTTTGTAATACATGAATCCTACGAAGACACAGGGGCATTGGACTTCAACAGCAAAAACTTCAAATATGTGACAGACTCCTTTGGCAGCATCATGAGCAAACTGCAGTCCGGGTCGCGAGTCTATTTACGAGCTTTGTCTCGAGACAAACCGACTGAACTACCGGCCAAGCTGGAAGAAGACTTCCCAAGTCTGGCAGAAGATTTTGCTCTTCCACCCGAAATGGCTCTTATCAAAGACAACTTATTCAGCTCTGTGCTGAGGTTGTCTGGGCGCGTCAATATGTGGCTGCACTACGATGTAAGTTCTCAAATGTTCATCTTGCGAGCCCTTGTTTGGCTGGTCGTCACGCATTCTCAGACTGAGTGTATGCTAAGACCCGGATATAGGTTATGGCAAACGTTTACGCGCAGGTGGCTGGGGTTCGGAAAATGATACTATTCCCCCCTAGTGATGTGAAGCACCTTTCTTTTGCCCCCGGTGCTTCAAGTTCGAGTGTAAACGTCTTCCAGGCGTTGGAAGCATCTCCAGCTTCGCTCCATGCGACCCATCCGCAGGAGGCTGTACTCCATCCAGGGGACGTCTTGCTACTACCAGCTCTGTGGTTACATACCGCGGCTCCAATAAGCGACATGAGCATCGCAGTCAACGTTTTCTTTCGCGACCCGGGGCAGAAAGATCATTACTCTTCTGGACGAGATGTCTATGGTAACAGGGACCTTGAAGTGTACGAGAAAGGGAGGCAGGCCGTTGCTCGGATTGCGAAAAGCTTGCAGTCGCTACCCCCTGCTGCCAGAGAGTTTTATCTTTGCCGGCTTCAAGATGAGTTACGCCTGGCTACTGAGGCCTAGGGAATGCCCACTTTGAATTGGGGAAGATGAAAGTATTCATTATTGGGCAATATGGCCACTCTATACCTCCTCTCCTCATCGAGGCATGGCCTATGTAGCACGTTTGCGTGCTATTGTGGAGGGAAGGAAGAATATGAACCTGCTTGGTAGGCAAATATGAGCTGGCAGATTGCTCTCCTTACTCTACAAGCCACTCCTCAATATTCACTCCTATGCTCCTGCTTATTCCGCGCATGATTTCCCACCCGATATTGATCCTCCACTTACCAGACCTATCCATTATGTCTCCCGTTCCAATTCGTATAAGAAGTTTGAGACTTGATAAAGTGGCCAAAGCCATACCAATGTCACCATCAAGTCCGGATAAAGGGCCTGCTGAGTCGGCCCACTCTGTTCTGACAGCCTCGAAGATCGCTAACAGGCGTTCCAAGAGAAATGCATGCGCTCCGAGAAGTTTACGGGGGATCTTGCGCTGTTTATTGCGATTGTTGGCTCGATTTGAGTTGGGCCCGGGACGTCGACGTTTACGACCATGATAGGAAGTAGAGAATAGGCTCAAGTCGTGCCGGACAGTATTGTGTGATGCGAGATATGATGAGAGCAGAAGCATCTTAGCGGTAGTCGGGAGCAAGCCAGTTAATCCTGTCGGAGGTTGCGAAGGATGTGAAGTCAGAGCTGTCGACGCTGATGATGATGAAAAACTTCCTGTAACAGACTGCCGACTCTTGTCGATGCTTGCTTCGGAACCCAAAGCAGGAGTCGAGACAAGTTTGGGATTGATTAACGCCTCGTCCTGGAAAGAAGGCCTCGCGGCGATGAGAAGCTTGGAGAACTGCTGAGGAGTGTATGTTCCCGCAACAATGGGCGCCACAAAACGAGGCCACAGAGTGTAGCAGCTGTTTCTGAAAGCAGGCAACGACCGCCCGGCCGCTTGCGTGAGAGAATCATGAACCGCTGCGCAGAACTTGGTCCACAGATTGGCCACTTCTTCTGGACCTGCGGCTTCATCCTGCGTGTCGTTTTCCGTTTCTGAATCTCTTGTCGTCGGGATAGGGGGAGGAGGCTCCAGCGACAGTATCTCAACTAACTCAGACTTTGTATAGGGTGGGAAGTAAAGATGCGGAGTTGGACAAGCTCGAAGAAACCCTGCTGGCGGTGTGGTAACGATGAAAACGCAGGTGAGGCACGAAATCTACCAGCGTATCGTTAGCAGTTGCTCGCTTGCCACACTTATGTATGGGACATAACGCAATCAGTATGCTCACAGTTTCGCACAGCCTCGCCAATGCTGGCATCAGTGTTGGCGGGGGGTCCCTTTGTCTGTCCATCCCATCTAATACCAAGACAAAATGGGTCAATCCATTATTCAATTGAGGTTCGTCGAATACGGAGTTTAGAGATGCAGCAAGCTGCGCCAACGTCTCACACCGCTGGGACGAAACGACGACACCCTCAGGGCCGTATCGTGCCCTCAGTGCATCGGTCACAGCGGCAATGATGCTCTCAAAGAAATGGCGTCCAGATATACATCGAGCAACGTTAACCGTTGCGTGGACGAGATCAGCAGCCCGGCCGTTCGCTATTCCGTTGTTTTCTGACAGCTGTGTGAGTAGCTGCCTTATAACGCTGGACTTCCCCGTTGCTTCTGAGCCGTGTATGACAAGGTTCCGACATGGCGCGGCATCCGTCTATTATTCGAGTGGGCGTCAGTGATGGATCGCTTGAGCCGGAGCCGGAATGAGGCATACGTGAAGTAAGGCGGCAAGTGCGCGTATCTGGCAGTCTCTGCCAGGAAATTGACGGAGAAGGGGGGCCAAAATCGTCTCATCTGGCAGCTGGAAGACGACTGATGCCATTTCGGATGCCTGCGGGAGGATAAATGGAAATCGTGCTGGTTATAACGCGGTGTAGAGACAGATTTGCAGACATCGAACGTCGTGACGCGCAAGCAACAATCACCTGGAATAATGCTAACATGTTAACATCTCTCTATGATCAGGATCCATGTCTTTAGAATAGTATCGATGATGCCCAACGCCAGCCATTACCTAGGAGGATGCGTCTGGGACCGGAGGACGAAGTAATATAGAGGACATACCGAAATGAAGCTGGTGACGGCCTGAAAGAGAGCATGCATGACATGAGCTCTTGGGCAAATCTATGCGTATCCCAGAGCCGTGGCGCGTCCCACAATTACCCGTCCAGGCACGATCTGGCGCGATGACATGTGATCAAGGGACGCGCACTAACAGTCTGGATACATGCTTATCAGGACTTAGTATCAGGATATACCCCACATAATCATACGATATAGCGATACAGCCGGGATTGACGACCCACATCGTTATAACATGCATAGGATGACTGTACTAGCAGCTTGCATTAGTGCATGTGAACGACGACTGCTCGTACCAAGGACTCGCACTTGTTTGACATCACCCGGAATGTCACTGCAGACGACGACAGGCATGAGACAACCATGGCCGATTATGGCCGTATAGATCCGTTTTCCTTCGCAGCGTCTCGAGATATTGAAAGCCCTGTCAGCATCCGAATGTCAGTCAAGTCTTCGAAGCTCACGCTCAATGTGCCGTCATTAATCGCCCTGCCTTGCAGAATAGGAATTGACGGAGACGTACCCCCCACCAAGTATTCGACGCTCCTCGATAAGCCTCAAGTTCGCCATATTGGCTCAAACACGAGGTATGATGCGAATCAACAGGCGACGCTAGAGATGATCGCGGTTTAATGATGAGTACATAGTTCTTCCTCCGAGCTCTATGTCACGATTCAAGTATGGGCGGGCTCGAAGGCCCTAACTGTGCCCATTCAGACGTCATATAAGTCCCCTCGTCAAGAGAGAAGGTATAGTAGCATCTCATCGTGAATAGATCTGGCAAATCGCATAGGTTAACTTGGTTTTCTAATCCTTCAGGTGGAATGAATGGTTACGGCTTCCTATTCAATACAAGTCGATCCCAGCCAACTCCCGCTTGGCCATCACGATATGGGATCTTTCACCAGCCGAAGGCCCGAACGATGTCTGCCATGCGACGCCGTTCGGAGGCACCACTCTCGCCTTGTTTGGCGATGATAACCAGGTTATCAGAGGTCGTCAAAAGTGTTATATTCACAAGTACAAGCACGCGGATGGGACCGATGACACGACAACGCCGGCGGTTGTCAGGATCAACGGGAAGGGGGCGCCTCAGCTGGCCAACTACACAGAAGAACTGGAAAGGATGGAGAGCTTATTCAAGAAGCACGAGATGGGCGAGATACCCCGAGTAGATTGGCTTGACCAGATGGTTTTTAGGGGATTTGAAAAGAAGGGGTTACATGCCGCCAAGATGTCAACCAAGATGCGCCAGCAAGAAGCCACCGCGGACGGCAACGACGATAGCAGGGCAAGTGGCATTCTGAACCATTCTCGCGGAGACACACTGGACCCATACGTATGCGTGCTCAACGTGGAATTACCGCGTTTCGACTTTCCTGTTGTCTTCGCCGACCACGAATACGACCCTCCTCCGATATCATCTCTTCAACCGCTTTCGGCCTCGCAAATCGCAGCGCAGAGGCGACCCGAGGTTCAATTTGGCCCTGGAATTAAGGCAATTGGCGAAAGCTCGGCGGAGTTTGGTTCACGGCTTGTGATGATTTATGATCCTGAGGTAGGGCAGAGAGACAACCCCGCCGAAGCGAAGCACAGGCGCCTCTTCCGAAGTTCCCATCGACATGGTATCCTCGATCGGGACCTCAAACCTAACGCAAAGGTCCGCGATGAGTTGAACGTCATCATGTCGTACCCACCAACACATATCCTTACTCCAGAAGAGGCAGATCTCGTCTGGAAGTTCAGATATCACCTGACCAAAGACAAGAGAGGTTTGGCCAAGTTCGTCAAGTCTGTCAACTGGAACGATCAAAACGAGATGAAACAAGCCGTCCAGGTTCTTGGCCGTTGGACGGAGATTGACGTGGATGATGCCCTTGGAATGCTGGGTCCATCATTTGATAATCCAACTGTTCGGTCGTATGCCGTCGACCGGTTACGAAAGGCCGACGACAATGAGTTGCTTCTTTACTTGCTTCAGCTCGTACAGGCTCTGAAGTATGAGCACATGTCTGCTGACTCCGGCGTGGAAAACATACAAAACTCACCACTGGCGCAATTCCTCATCCAGCGTGCGGCGGCGAACTTCATGCTAGGCAACTATTTTCATTGGTATCTCATGGTTGAATGCGACGACTATAGTCCGGAGCAGGATGAACGGAATCGCGAAATATATCGCAAAGTCGCGTACGAGTTCATGACGGAACTCGTCAAGCAGCCGGATGGCAACGAATCCCGGAAGACGCTCCTCAGGCAGGCGGAGCTACTTGCTATACTGTCGAGAATTGCAAACGACATCAAGTTATCAAGCGAACCAATCGCCAAGAAAACGGATAGAGTCAAGGCATTCCTCGGAGATCCAAAGAACGAGCTCCTCAACATCGATCCACCACTGGCGATGCCCCTTGATCCCTCTGTCAAGGTTACTAGTGTAATACCGGATCAAGTGACGGTGTTCAAGTCGTCACTGAATCCAATCAAGTGCACATTCAAGACTACAACGGGCAGCCAATATCCGATAATATTCAAACTCGGCGACGACCTAAGACAAGATCAACTAGTCATCCAGATCATTACCCTGATGGACGAACTCCTCCAGAAGGAAAATCTGGACCTAAAGCTGTCCCCCTATAAGATCCTGGCAACGAGCACGACGGCGGGTGCGTCTCAGTTCGTCCAGTCGCAAAGCCTGTCAAGTATTGTGAGCAAGTACAAGAATAACCCAGCGCTGGCCTACCTTAAGCACCACAACCCGGACGACCGACAGCCTCTCGGTGTTCGCCAAGAGGCACTGGATACCTATGTCAAATCATGCGCGGGATATTGCGTTATCACCTACATCCTTGGAGTTGGCGACCGGCATCTTGACAATCTCTTACTGGCTCCAGATGGACATTTCTTTCATGCTGATTTCGGTTATATCCTTGGCCGCGACCCCAAGCCATTCGCGCCCGTTATGAAGCTTTCCAAAGAAATGGTGGACTGTATGGGCGGAGTGCAATCGGAGCACTACCGTCAATTCAAGCAGTATTGCTTCTTGGCTTACACTGCGCTGCGGAAATCGTCAAACCTCATTCTCAACTTGTTCAGTCTCATGGTTCACGCCAATATTCCAGATATCAGGCTCGAGCCGGACAAGGCTGTGTTAAAGGTGAGGGAGAGGTTCCATCTTGAGATGGGAGAAGAGGAAGCGATTCTTTACTTTGAGAGGATCATCGAAGATACTCTAACGGCGTTTGCGCCTGTTGTTATTGACAAACTGCACGAGTGGGCGCAGGCTCTTAGGGCTTAGGCTAGGTGGATATGAGAACAGTAATAGAGAGCGTACTCAAAGTCCACTGTAAAGCATCATGGCGTCCGCATCGCTCGTCTTGTGACTGATGCAGAAAGTATCACCATGTCTTCATCTGCCACGACGACCGCGGCGTGCTCTAGTAACTCAATGCCTGAATCAACCTTTACATGTCAAATTACAGCTGTCCTTGAATGAAGTCTCGGAGTGGTGGCCAATGACCATGTGAAAATCCCGAGACGCAAAATATCACGATTCCTCCCATATGAACTTGGCGTGATCCCTTACGGTATCCTGAGTATACGTAGGGACCTCCTGCCAGGCCATGTCTCCTTCGTGCTGATGGCCACATGAGGTTGGTTCTCCTCCTCCCTATCTCATCATTATATACAAGCTGCTTTGGCTCGATAAATGGCGGAGACGATACGGCTGCCATAACACTAGGCAAGGTCCCGTCTTGAACGTACCTCAAACTCGACCAAGAGTCTCTGCCCTCCACAATTGCTCTTTCAAATGGGAAGTTCAGGTATCGCCAAACACGAATATGCCCTTACCCCCCTTGAACCCCTGAAGTCCCTCCTGCACCTCTCGTGCCAGGGTAGAAGCATCAGTCTCCCAGTTCCACGCCAATTCACGCAGAGGCGCATCCTTGAGTTTGCCTTCTCGGATGAGGTCCACGATGTAGTCAATCATGTGCTTGCGCCCAGCGGCATCCTGCTGATTCCACCGCGAAAGCCAGAATCCAACGACGCGGATGTCCTTGAATATGAGCAAGCCGACGGGAAGGGCGATTGGCTGCTTGGCCATGCCGCCATACGACACCATCGTGCCGCTCTCGCTGAGCGAGCGAGCAATGGCCGTGGCAGACTTGCCGCCGACGCAGTTGAGGCCGAGCCCAATGTGGTCGCGGCCCTTGTTTGTGATTTCCGCCAACTGGTCCCTCCACTCCCGCGACAGGAACTGCTTCTCTGTGACGACTACGTCGGCACCAAGCCCGGTCAGCTCTGCTTTCAAAGATTCGGTCTCTTCAGCCGACTCTCGCTCCCGAATCACGTTGATGCTCCGCAGCCCCCAGAGCCTCCCGAGCTGTATGGCAGCCCTCCCGACTCCCGAGTTCGCCCCATTCTGGATGAACCACTCGCCACTGCCCACCTCCAGCGGCCGCATTCCGAGCCCGGAGCTGATTCCGGCGCTGGGGCCGTACGCCCTCAGGATGCGATACGCCGTGCTGGGGTTGACGGAGATGGTCGCCGCCTGAGTCGCCTGCAGTCCCTCCTTGTTGATCTTCAGGACGTCGTCGACATCGGCCACGGCGTGTGTCCTCCATGTGCCGAACTGGGCAACGGCCGGTATGACCCAATCTCCCTTGCGAACGGGCAATGACGACGGGTCGCCCGTTGCAACGACCTCGAAGACGCCTTCATTTCCGGGGATCGCGGACGGGCTGGACGTGCCAATGAGGGACGTGAAGCTCGGCTTGGAGCCGTAGGTCCCCTGGATCGTGTTGATGTCGGCGGGATTGATGGGAGCGGCGAGAGCCCGCAGCAAGACGGATCGCTTGGGGAGCGAGGGCGAGATAGAATGTGTGTGTAGCCTTGACCAGTCGTCTGTCAGCTTCAAAGACAAGGAAGCACCCCTTTCGCGTCCCACCACAAGGAGGGCGATGCTCACTTTAGCACCTCGGACGGCTCTCCATGCTCGGAGAAGACAAGAGCCTTGGCCTGGGTGTAGCCGTACGGCCCCGACTTATGCCGAACAGCTTGTTGCGATAGAGGACTGCGGATTTGCGCTCCTAAGACGCGCCTCGGGCACGGCAGAGCGTGTAGACTGCGGTGAGAACGGCACAGCATCGTTATCAGGTACAATTGTCAGATATCGATGGCCATGACAGGTGCTGGAGCCATAGAAGGGGTTGGGAGGAGAATGGAAGCCATTTCCTGAGCTCAACTGCATCATAGCTATGTATAGCTGGACGCTTAGTTCGGAGTAACTGCCCCTCCATCCCCACAATCAACGAAGGTGCTGATCATGTCTTCGAGTGACAATCTCCAGAGTCGAGATAACAACGTGCTATTTCATATGACAAGCAAGCCATCACTATTTCTTCGCTCGCCTTGCGTAGTGCGGACAAACAACTTGACAAGTGGAAGCTGACTGGCGTGGGAGATGGACGTGTGCAAAGCAACTAACGGTATCTCACCCTCGGCGAAGGCCGGCTTAACCATCACATCACTTTATATGCGCACAAAGATTCAGTAGAGAGTGCAAGGAACTTCGCCATACATTTAAATGGCCTCAACTTTTATTGGCATCGCTCGTTGTAACATGATCGAAATGACAGCTACCTAGAACCTACATAGGCCTGTACATCACTGCTCGCTCGCACATCACTCAGTTGCCGCACTCTCCCGCGCCAATACCTATTCACAATTCAGTTAGCCCCTTTCTTTTGCTAAAAAGCCGCAGCCTGGAGGAGGAGATTCGTGGGGAGAACATACCAATGCGGTTCGGCAAGGAATATAGATATGCGTCCAGTTCTTCCTTCCGTTCCACTCCATGGGGGTTGTGAAGAAACGAGTCTCCTCGTCCACCCTGTTATGGCCTCCGACCTTGTCCGAGTCACTGTTAAGGACAATCTTATAGGTCCCCGGCACTTCAATGCCGATGCGGTAGTCGCTGAAGCTTCGGTCTGTGTGGAAGTTGAAAACGAACACAAGTCCCGCTCTCTCGAACACAATCACCTTATCGCCTTCGTGCTTCAAGGAGATGTAAGCCTGGGGCGAGGACAGCCAGCCATATTTGGCCTCGCAGTGGTTCATCATCTTGTCAAAGTCGTTCAGGAACTTGTATCGAAGCAGAGGGTCTTCTGTGAGGTTGAACTGCCGACGGGCATACCAGAAAGAGTTGTTGTTTCCGGCCCGAGGGAAGTCCAGCCACTCGGGATGGCCGAATTCGTTGCCCTCAAAGTTGAGGTATCCCTCTCCGCCCAGCGCGTGGGTGAGCAGCCGGATCATCTTGTGCAGCGCCATTCCACGGTCAATCACTGGTGTCAGCGGCGACAACGTCGACATGTTGGTGTACAATTCGGCATCACATAGGTGCATCATCAGCGTCTTGTCTCCGACAAGTCTAAAGCCAGTAATCAGTTAGCCACAATCAGCCATATCGTGATCGTCACGGTGGAGTACGTACGCTTGATCGTGACTCTCGCAGTATGCAATGGTCTTCTCGCCGTGGCGTCTGTTGGTCAAGGTGAAGCAAATGTTGGCAAGATCCCAATCCTCATCCTTCTTCTCCTTGAGGATCTTGATCCACATGTCGGGAATGGCCATGGCAAGCCGGTAGTCGAATCCGATGCCGCCAAGGGATAGCGGGAGGCACAGCGCTGGCATACCCGACACGTCTTCCGCGACAGTGACACACTCGGGGTAGAGCTTGTGCAACATTTCGTTGGCAACCATCAGATAGGCGACCGCTTCTTCATCGACGTCAAATCCGAAATATTCGTGATATCCACCAGAAAAGCCACTATGATCGGTTAGCCGGAGATGGAATTTCAAAATGGGGACGAAGGGTCAATCGACATACGTTCCAATACCATGGTGCTTGTAGAGCATGCTGGTGACACCATCAAAGCGGAAGCCATCAAAGTGGTACTCGTCCATCCAGAACCGCAGGTTGCTCAGGAGGAATCGCATGACCTCATGGTGGCCGTAGTTGAAGAGTCTGCTATCCCAAAGGTCGTGATTGCCCTTACCTCCGCTGTGGAAGTATTGGTGGTCGGTCCCGTCGAACTGGTTGAGGCCGTCGAGTACGTTCTTTGACGCATGACTGTGTACCACGTCCAGGAGCACGACAATTCCCATCTTGTGGGCGGTATCGACGAGCCTCTTCAACCCCTCGGGGGTTCCGTAGCGGCTGCTGGCGGCGAAGAAACTGTTCACTTGATATCCAAAGCTAGCATAGTAGGCATGTTCCATGATGGCCATTAGTTGAATAGCATTGTAGCCAAGGTCCTTGATTCTGGGGAGCACGTTGTCTGTAAACTCGTCGTACGTGGCGACGCGCTGCTCTGGTGACGAGATGCCGACGTGAGCTTCGTATATGCGAATGCTCTGCGGCTTCTGTGGTCGTGGATGCTTGAAAGCGTACTTCTCTGACGGCTCTGGGCTCCAGAAGCGAGCATCGTACGCCGGGGAGACAGACAGGTCTTGTGTTACGTATTTGATCCAGGCTGGAAGGCGATCGACTCTGCCGCCCCCAGGAAGAACGAGTGATATCTGTGGAGATCAGTACACATGTTTCTGTCTTGGCGACTGAGTGTTTATTGATATACCTTGACTTTGGAGTTGTGAGGAATCGCCTTCTTGCCATCCTTGGCTGGGACCACAATCTCAAACACCCCGTATGCGTTCTTCTTCATTGGATGCGACTCATAGTTCCAACCGTCTGTGCTTTGGTGTCAATTAAAAGCGTTGGACTCAAGGCAAGCCTGGGGTGTAAGACTCACTGAAATCTCCAACAAGATATGCCTGTTCGGCATTGGGCGCCCACTCGCGATAGGTGACATTGTTCTTCTCGTCCACGTTGAAGCCGAAGATGTCAGTGCCCTGTAAGTGTCAATGGTCAGCAAATAGGTACAATTGAGGATGTGCACGGAAAAGCAAGAAGCATGCTCTAAGAGAGAGATCGACTCCCCGTACCTTGGAAAACTTCTCAAAGCCGCCTTCAGTGTCGTTTATACGCTTGATCCATTCCTGAGCTTTAGAGTACCGTCGCCTCAGGGCGTCGCTGAACGGGCCCAGCCAGGGATCCAGCTGGATGACGCCTACAGCTTGTGTTAGGGGCAATGATGCTATAGAAAATCGATTGATTGCAATCTCGAACCTGTGCCATCCTGGGGGATTTTCTGCTCGTCCTGAGAAGCTGCCATGGTGCAGAAGTGCTCGAGCGTGGGAGGCGGGGTAGCTGCGATGAGAGCTTGGAGTCGAGTTGCTTGGACGGCGAAGCTTCGGCGGGCAGCGATGAGAGATATATAAGTATATGGCGCGTTGAAGTGGCGGATGCTCTCGAGTCTCGTTGCAAATTAAATGCGCAACTGCGGTAATTGTTGGCAAATGAGAATGTAGATGCGGTAGATAGGAAGGTTGCAGCAATCGCTCAGTACGTGCGTCTCGCGAGCTTGAAGCTTCAGCTTGGAGGTACCGAAGAAGTATGCAAGAGCTTTAGCAGCGGAGGAGACCGTAAGCAAATAAGGCAGCAAGCAGCAAGGTACCCAGAAACTGGGCACTAGCCTACTACCCAAGATAGTTGGCAGCGAGCAAGCAGTCAGGTAATAATAACTGGAGTTGCGGTTGGGCAATATGGGGTAAAGTGAACCGCTCGAACCATTGCGTACTAGGCCCTTCCCATGAAACACAGCAGTCCACGTCCACAGCAACCTTGCGAGCAGTGGAAATTGCACATATTAAAGCTTTATTCATTACGGGATATCTCTAATTGCCTATTCCTAGTTATTAATCTTAAACATTTTCCTCAGGCTGTTGAATTTCTTTCGCTTAGGTTCTTGTGATACAGGATTAGCGTGGTTCGCGTCTGAGCCGCCGCCGTACTGCGGGAGCTCATGCGGTTGGCGGGGTTCTGACGTCAGGTCGTCCGCGACGAGGGCGCCGTTGGCTGCGGATCGCCTTCCAGCGTCGCCTGCCGGTGACGTCATCGAAGCTTCGCGAGCCTCGCCGTTCGTGTTCTGCAGAGGCCAGCCTGCTGCGCGCGTGTCTTCTTCGTGATGCTGCAATATGACATTATGACCGCTGCCGGCGTCATTCGTCTTCCTGCGCCGGAGCGTGGAGATGAGCCCCTGTCGGCGAGACGAAGCGCTCGCTGCACGTCCTTTGCTTCCTTGGTCAGACAGCTGATCAAGAGGCAAATGTGCGCTGCCCTCGTCGTCGAATCGGTCGTGTCTTGACGGGAAGCCAGCGTGGGCACCAGAGCTGAGGTCAGGGGGCGTGTTCCGTCCGTATTTGTGAAGGATAGAATGCATTAACCTCGAACGAGCCGGCTCGTGTTCGTCGCCAATGATCGAGCCGTCCGTCAGCGGAGTTGTGTGCATGAAGTCGTCATCGCTAGAGTCTGAAATTTGATCACCATACGCCGAATCCGCGCCTTTCCTCGAGGAGAACCGGCTAATATATGGCTCAACTGAGCTGTGACGGACTGACCGATGGTTTTGGCGCTCAAACGGCGCCCGCGAGGGAGCAGCTGACGTGATCGAGGAACGCTTCGTATGTGACGTGGTAGGAGACAACGAACGTAGTGTCAATCGCTTTCTACCTGCCGGACCAGGCAACGATGCCTTGGAGTCGAACGAGTTGCTTCTCATAGACATCCTGAACCCACGACGAGGACTGCCAACGGATCTGCTGCGTACGAAACTGCTCTCACTGGAGTCGGATCCCCGACGCCTCAGTGTGGACCTGGCGATCGTGGTCGTCGCTGTCTCAGTGATCGGGCTATGAGTTGGATGTTCCTCCTGATGCCTCTGGCGAAGATCGGCCAAGGATCTAGGCCGAGTGACTGAGCCTCGAGCCTCGTCATCTAAATGCCTTTGGTCGATGCTCACAGACCGTTTCGGCTGTGAGAGTTTCTGCAGCTTGCGCCCCATCGCCATGCCATTGCGTGCCGCAGTAGTTGGTTGCTGTACGGACCCATGTCCTCTCTGGGCATCTGTCACGGCAAAATCAGTCTGTTTCAGTGGCTGCTGCCCATTTTTCATCTCCATTGTGCCATTCTTTGCCTGAGTTCGATGACCATCGGCTGGAATACCTTGTCTTGAGCCGGTAAAGCTTGTGGCAGGCGCTTTTGGGGCTGCTGACGCTTGCTTTGTTCCTCCGAGCGATGCTGGGTCAGCTCTCGACAACTGTTCTCGCTGGAATTGGCGAAGTTGGCTTCTCTGCGCCGAAGTCAGAGGGTACTCTGAAATGTCTCCCAGGGACTTGGTGTCCTTTGCTGGTGGACGCTCTCGTATAGCATCATCGTCAGCCTCCATAAGGGCCTCAATTTCGAGTCGACGCCTCTCTTCGGAGCTAAGGCTCTTCCAGTAGGCTTTGGTTCTTTCCCAGTCATCGGGTGATTGGAAAGGAGCACCAATGGCACCATCCGGTGGCTTCGTAATATGGCTTGGACTGAGGCTTGAATCGTTGCCGCCCGTATTTGCCACTGGGGGACTGGCCAGTGCAGCATCAAGCGACATGAAGCCGTCATCTCCAGCTTCGGAAAGGTCCTCGTATGCGTCGCTGTAGATGCTATCCATATCTGACTCATCCTCCCCCTGCTCTGTATGATCTTGGTTGCCAGCCTCACGCCCTGAAGTTTGTGCTATTCCAGGCGTAGGAGACTTGCCTGTGGTGTCAATACGGTCTCCGGAAACATCGTCGTCAAGGGGAAAGCTTCCTGGAAGCGGACTTGTTTCAGCCACAGGCGCAACGTCTTGATCTGTGACCAAGGGATACGCATCTGTACCCGAGCCCCCTAAGGAACCATTAACAGTGTTCGAGACCTCCTTCGAAACGTCGCTGGGAGACGAATCGGAAAGCGGTTTCGAATCCGCCGACAGAGCTTTCAACGATTTGTGGTTCCGGGACTGTTCACCGCCAGTCGGAACGTCTTCAAAAAGCTCATCCTCCGAACTAAGCAAATCTTCACTCTCCTGCCCAAGGCTCTCGGTAGATGCAATGATAGCAGGCAATGGCTCCCGGAACTTGGAGATGTTGGCTGCGTTCCTTGATGCCTGCCCTCGACTATGATGCATCTGTTTAACCGAGTCGCTGTCGACTGGTGCTGGGATATCGTTTTTGTTGATGAAAGATGCTGCAAGGGAACTAGACGCTTGCTGTGACTGGGGGGAAAGCGATCGCTCGCGCGGACGAACAAGCTGCCGCTCCTCGGGCTCCTTGCCCTTCTTATCGCGTATACTTCCAAACAATGGAAGTGCTGGCCGTGGAGACATGAGCTCATCTTGTTGCAGTAGGGACGCCTTGCTCCCTCTCAGCCCTTCAAAGGCACTCTGTGTGTTCTGCCTCGATTGATGGTTGTGCACCGCTGCAGAGCCCGCTTCTTCGGACGTGCCAGGCTCAGCAACAACAACTGTACCGTTGTCATCCCAGCTTACCCTTGCGCCTTTCCTATGGGATGGTGTGAGATCCTCTCTGTTGGCATGAGAAGTGCCATGGATCGACGACTCCAAGATCTCATTATGGATCCCTTTACCAGAAACGGCAGATTTCAAAGCAGACTTTCTAGGCGAAAGAGAACGTGGAGGAGGTTCATGCTTGACGACTAAGTGGTCAGTTGACGATGCAAAATGAGCTGATCGCACGGACGTCTCTGATGACCCGGATCCAGCATATGAAAAGGGCGGTTCGACCTTGGCATTGTCCCACTCCGGTGAACCCGGTTTCGAATGTGACTTTGCCAAAGCTCCTGGAGGTCCGTTAAGAGGAGCGTTCTGGTTGTGCCAATCCGAGGGGTTTTCGATCCCAGGCCCCTTTTCCTCGGGTAGTGTTTCGGTAACAAATGCCGGCATTGGAGCGCTGAAACTTGAGGAAGCAGTAGGACTCTTCCTCCCTGATGACACATCAGGGGTATGGCGCTGGCCAGTATTTGTTGACGACGGCTCCGGCTGGAAGCCATCGGGCATCTTTGGTCTCGCTTCATCGGCTGATTCTTGCGGTATGTGGCGCTGTCTGACGGGCTTTGTTCCTTTCGCCTTCTCTATCGTTGTGACAGCAGCGTCATCGCTTTGATGGCTCGCTTGCACAAGTGATGCCCTTGGCACCATTCTTCTTGAATTGGGGTCATAGACAAGATCAGGCTCGGACGTCGTGTTCGAGTCGTACGAGGTGATTCGTGGTCGGGGGTAGGAAAAGTTGATAGAGGAATTGACACTTCCAGAGCGAGATTCTGGCAACTCCGGCGTCACCTTGGACGCCGGTTCCGTCCTCTTGTCTTGATACGCATGCTGGGTAGCGGGCCCAAACCAGGCACCTTGTTGCTGATGGGCTGCTGATTTCTGGCTTGCCGTTTGGAAGTTTTGCGTTCGTAGAGGGCTCGCAGCGGTTCTGGTGGCGGAGATGCTGGGAACTGGGGGCACGTCCTGCCTCCCAAGAGGTGTGCGACCGCCGGGCGACGGGGACCGAAACGTTCGTTCGCTCATGGAGCTCACGCTGGGGCTCCTCTGTGGCTTACCCTTGCCTCGATCGCGACCGGCAGGGGTGGACAATGACGAGGCCCGTCGCTGCACTCTCTTCGACGAGACTTCCGCAACGTTGGTCGGCGAAGTTGGCTGCGCTCGCAAGGCGGCGGCTGCGGCTGCCGAAGACAATGAAGGCTGGGCTGTCGGGTTGCCGCGCATGAAGGCGGATGCGGCGGCCGTGGCGGCAGTAGGATCGGCGGTTTCCTTCGTCAGAGGCTGAAAGAAGATTTAGCTGTCTGTCCAACACTATCGCAGACATGCCGTCTTGCTCAGGGTCCAAGGGGAGCTGGGGCCTTGATGACTTGTGCCCAAATCAATGCCTGATTGCCCAAAGCAATGATGTAGGCGCAGCTTGCGATCGATCTCCAAACGCTTACCTGAACCGAGTGAGCGCGTCGTCGCGACATCTTAAATATGGTGGCCATCGTGGACGGCGCCTCCACAGCTTGCACTCACGCACAGCTGCCAGACCATGTAGCTCGAAGCGAACGACCCGAGAAGTGAATCACGACAGAAAAAAGGGCGGAAAAGAATGATTTTTTAAAGATATTCTGCATAAGCTGCTGCTGAGATGCTGACCAGGAAAACGTACGCAATACATCATCCAACGCGAAAGAGGTGTGGAGTCGGCGGCGCCATTGGGCCAAGCGCTAAGGTACCGAATAGCGCACCTAATTTGCTAGCACCGAGCAGGTAGCTGCGCGCTAAGCCGCTTCCAGCCCGCCGGCTGCATTGCCAAACTCGGCTCTCACCTTGGCTGCCAGACTTTCTTCAAAATGGCCCTCTTTGCTCTCTGCCCTCTGCTCTGCTGCCCTCTGCTCTGCTGCTGATGATTATGTGCGACTGCTTTTCCCTCCCGGACCCTCCACTACTGATTCTTACTACCCAGACGCCCCGTCCGCCGACTGCCTTGCCTTGGATGCTAGACATTTGACCGCACTTGTTTTGCCCTTCGTTTTTCCGTCCGCACCGCGCATAGCCTCCTCTCGTTCCTCCTCTCCTCTTGGTGCTTGCAGTATTCAATGGCACCACCCTCGCCACGACGGTCCTCCAGAGCTCGCACATTGGCTTCTCACTCTCAACAGTCTCTTTCGACCACCAACTTCACCCGTCTCGAGCGCCATACCAGATCCCTCAATCGACCCCAGTCGGGCAAGTCCACGCCCAGCGCATCCGTGTCGTCAGATCCGCTCGACGACATTGACGATACACTGCTTGGCCGCAGGCGAAAGCGCGGCCACGACGAAGAGCAATACAAGGGCTTGCGGGGCGAAGCCCTAGACATGTCCAACGATCCGGATTCTCTGCAGGAGGAGGAGGACGAGGCGGTCCGGTGCATCTGTGGCTGCGAAGATTATCCCGGCCGTCCGCCCGTGGACGGATCCGACGCCCAGTTCCTCGCTTCAATTGAACTGAGTGAAGATGTTACTGGGTTTTTCGTGCAGTGCGATATCTGCAAAGTGTGGCAGCATGGAGCATGTGTCGGCATCTTCAGCGCGGAGAGCTCACCCGAAGAATATTTCTGCGAACAGTGTCGGAAAGACCTTCACAAAATCCACATAGCAAATAACGGGTGAGTCAAGCTTTTCCGCCAAGTCAGCCCTGCACAGCTGCTGACGGGGCCTCGCTTTTCTTCAGGCAAAAATACTCCAAATATCTACCTCTGAGTCGGCCCGCGAGGACTGCGTCTCGGGCTACGTCCATAGCAAAAGATGGTGCTCGGTCGCCGAGGCTGGGCAGTTCCAAATCGGTTCGGTCTCAGTCGACCTCGCAAATATCGAAACGGCGATCTACCATGAATAGTCGCGACGCAGCTTATGACGATGAACAATTACGACGGGCCATTGAAGCGAGCAAAGAAGAAGTTGCCCAGGACGGAGCGGAGAGCATCACCAGGCGCACAAAACGGGGCCGCAGCAATAGCGAAGAGTTCGTGATTCCCTCTCCGACCACGCTTGAACATGTTGGACCTTGGCTAACGTCGCTTTCCAGAAACAACGTTACTGTCAAGAGGCAACGCACAAATTCTCAAAGCCCTTCGCCGCCGCCAAAACCCATAGACACGGCCAGTCGCGAAAACACGGATGACGAGAGCAATGGCCGCAGCGGACTGAAACGGCCGCGCGTCTATAAAGGCACCGAGAAATCGGACAAGGAGGAGAAGGATCGCCTGCGACAAGAGAACGCGAACAAGCGGAAGGGGCGGGCCGATAGGCGGCGTACTGAAGGTGGGTTGTTCTCTGCAACGGCGAGGCGCGTTGTACCAGGCACTGACAAACCCAGATTCCGATGTATCAGAAGAAATAAACCCTCCGTCCTCGAAGGCCCCCGCCACGAAGAGTGCAGAACCGACAACTCTCGCGGAGCCTGCACCGCAACCATCCCCTGTTCCTGGAACCCCTCCTGCGTCCAACTCGTCTACCGCAAACGCTCACAAACGGAGCTCGCGAAGCAATCACAGAAAGGGCAAAGGGAAGAATCAATACACAAAGGATCGGAATACGGACATGGAACATTCGCCCGCACGATCCGTATCCAGAGACAACAACGCTGCTTCATCTTCACACGCGAAGAATACCAGCGATCACAAGAGCAGCTCGAAAGCCAAACTAGGGATTGCTGGTAGGATGAGCATGCTGGATATGAAGCGGCGGGTAGCCGCTATAATGGACTTCATCTCCAGAACGCAGGTCGATCTGGCGGCTGAAGCGACGTTGGATCGCAGCAACAACTCAACGGATCTTGACTCACACGACGCTACTGCGTCCCCAGCCGACACACCCATGTCCAGGGACTTCAAGGACCTAAGCTGCATCGAGATGATGGACGTTCTTACACGAGATATGGTCAAGTGGCAGAACCAATACGCGTGATGCTGGGCATGGTCCCCCCATGCTCGCCGCTTAAGAGTCTGCATGTGTCTATTTTCTTCTATAGAATACCCGAGCTGCGTGCTATTGTTTTATATTGGTTTGCCAGAGAGGCGTTCGGTTTGGCTTGATTTGGCTTGAGGGAATTTGTTCAGGCGTTCAAGATCTCGAGCCTCCAGAGGCTTCATGACGGAAGGGAATGGTGTTACTGCTAGATATACTGCTCAGGATCAATCTGATGCATCTTCGCCATGATATAATCCATGCGGTCAAGGCTTCCTTCGCAACGATCATGTCGGCTGACACAAGCGCTGAGCTGTGACCCTCCTTTAGTGTAGAAAGTCTGGAGTGTCTAGACCTGTGTTGTTTTATGCGTTGTCCTCTTTCCGTTGCTCTTTCCATGCCTTCTTCCCCTGATTCAGACTGAGCGGAGGGTTTGTTGCGATCATCTCATGGCGGCGAAGGGCGTCGTCGGAGAGGTCATCCAACACATATCTGCCCAGTTTACCTTTCCGCCACTCGGACAGCACTCTGGACGCCGATTCTCCCATGTCCGGGACGCCACCAGCCTTCAGCTTGCCATCCCGCTTGGCCACAGCGGCCAGGAACTCCTCTATATCGTTTGTGGGATCGCAGTATCGATGGTAGAGTTGGGGATCCCAGAGATTCATCTTATAGAGCAGGTAATCGGCCAAGATCTCGTCTGGGATGAGTCCCTTCTTGATGCCCTGCACAAGGGATATCTTCATCATGGTCTCGCCGTCTTCAACGTACGGAACAAAGACTCCTGGTGAGTCGAGCACGTAGACACCGGCGCCGACCCCGCCTCTCTCTTCCGGCTCGACCACGCGAACGCTTGTTCCGATCTTGCGGGTTACGCCTGCTTGGTCACCCGTCTTGGCTACCTTGTTTGTCCTCCCCGTCGTCCCGGTGCTTCTGAGGGCGTTTAGCAATGTACTCTTACCGACGTTAGGCATGCCCACTATCAGAGCACACAGGCCTGTGATTGAGTCCACCTCTTGGGCCGTCTCCTTCAGCCGTTTGAGGAGAGAAGCTGTGGACGCGGCATGGTTCTTGTCCCAGAACAAGGCGCCACGGCCGTGCAACTTCTGCAAAAACTGCCGAGCCCCGGGACTATCGCCGCCGAGATCATGCTTCGTGTAGACGATGAGTTTCGGGCGGCCGGCGACCGCCTTTTCGAGGAGAGGGTTGTGGGTTGACAGAGGCAGTCGAAAGTCGCGGCACTCGATGACGAGCGAGATCCTCGAGAGGACCGTCTTTAGTTTGCTGACAGCCGCCTGGTGGTGGCCCAGGAAGTAGGACTTTGGAATCGACGAAGGCACGGCAAATGAACGGCGGGGGACAAACTGTGCCATTCCGAGGACCGACTGCTGTGCGTTTCGCTCATGATCTGCGGACGCAATTGGCCTGGGGGAGAAAAAGTTCTGTTAGTTTGACGTATGACATTGCGGAGCTCACGTCGCATTGCGGAGACACTTCAAGTTGCATACTACTACGGAGTAGAGTAGCCGAGGATGCCTTGCCAGGCCTGCCATGTGTCAAAGTATTATGAATAGCTTATCAATTGCCGACCTTTTTTTGTGATTTATGAAATGCTTCATATATGTCGCTTAAAGCTCAATTTTATATTATTGTCTTTAATTTTTCTATAAAAATATACCTATATCATAAATATATATTTATATATTTTGATATTAATAGCTTAATAAGAACAATAATATCTCAAGAGGAAAAAATCAGTATTCTCATAGTATTCTATCTGATTCTTTGACATAGTCTAGAGACTAAATGCTAGAAATTGCTAGCCGAATCGCTTTTGTATTACCTTTTTAAACGGGCCGCGTTACTATCGCCGTTGGGGGAGATTTGACCTACCAGTAGCCCGTTTGCTCGTTGCTGCGAGTACGAGGTACAGACTAGCTTCAGAGTAGGTACTCCAGGATATAGGGGGTCATTCTCCGGGACCTCGACTGCCAGGGTTGCTTCTGTTCCTCGTCAGCGATGATCTGCACGGAGCATCATCTATCGACTGGCAGGTCTCGGGCCTCGATTTCCCATCGCCACCAGAAGACTGAATAGCCGCGACAACACCATGTCTTCGCAGCAGAAGAAGAGCGCGGCCGGCGCGCGCTTCGAGCTGCTGCCCGCTCTGAAGCTGGATTTCGGCAGCATTACCGACGGCACCGACATCCCTCCACCGCCGGAGTCTCCGATCGAGCCGACATACACACCGTCCAAGACGTCCGACGGCAGCAACGCGAGCATTGGGGCCAAGGAGCCAACGTCGTCGACGCACGAGAACAAGGCTGGCCCGCGAAGCCTCGCCGACAACGCGCCGCCCAGTCCTGCCGCGTCCGGTCACCAGGGTAGCGTCCGCCATTGGCTGTTTTTCTTCTTTTTTTCTGCGCTTCTAACGACAAAAATCCACAGACAGCATCATCCAAGAGAGTGCGCGTAGCGTCGCCAACGTATATCGTCCGGCCAGCCGAGGCGCCGCCAGCGCTGCCAGCGCCGCGGACTCTGAGAAAACGAAGCGGGCGAGCGGCTGGTTCAAGCGTCTGAGATCGGGAGACACGCAGTCAAGGAGACGGTCGAGTCTCTTGAGCCTCGAGCAAACAAACGTACCAACAGCGTCGAAGTCGACGCCTGCTAAACCACCTCCCAAGATTCCCAACCTAGTACACCTCGAGAGCGAAAGCAGCAGTTTTGGATCCGACTTATTCGATCACATCAAATAATGATACCTCATATAACCCCCGCAAAAGAAATACACTATGCAACAATTGCCTGATCCTCGGGCTGTTGAAAGAAGAGAGAATGGAAAGCTATATAATTTTCAGGATTTGAGGTCTGTTCTATCGGAGGAATATTGCCTAGGTCTTATTTACTTAGAATTTAATACTGTATTCACCACCCGCCCGTTACTCCGTCAGTACCTACCTTATCCGCTATCTACCTCTGCCACATCAGGTACCAGTCGCAATCAATTGCTGCCGAACTAACTATGAAACCAGTTTAGGCGGATCTGGCTGGTGTGGGTTTATCAACAGCCACTTAATCTTGCTTCCTTCTCAGTCATCCCAGTAGCCGGATTTTATATCCTCCGGTCGCTTTTTACTGACCGATGAAGCAAACGTCCGCTCCGGATTTCGCCCGTATTGTAAGCAAACAAAATCCTGTTGCCATATCGAATAAGTTTTGCTTCGTTGGTCGTCGACGCGGCATATCATTATGGACCGCGAGCGAGATGGTCGGAGTCGAAGGTAAGAAAGCAACATTCTTGCACACGATCGATTTATCTGCTTTCCGCCTCTGAACTGCAACTGCCTGGTGCCTTTGTTATCCGATCGCGCGTGGTTGTATCAGTCAAGGCAGAAATGCGGCGGGATCATCATCCCTGAAGGCCGGATAATTCTGCTGCTCTGCTTGCACGGCTTCGTGTTTAGGACATGGCTGACCATCGCAGGTACGACGACGGCGAGGTGGTGAGATACGGTGCTGGGGAATCGTGGAGGCCGACACCGCGAGAGCGATCGCCTAGAAGGCCGAGAAGCCCCGTTAGAGACAGAGCCAGAAGCCCGCCGCGGACTAGAAGTCCTCGCCCTCGGAGCCCCATCATCCCAGGATCTGATAGCTACGTGCCTGGAAGATATCCCCCGCGAAGGCGTTCCCGCAGCATCGGCGATCGATACCGACGCGAGCGATCCAGAGACCGCGAAAGCCCCCGCAGACGCGAGAGAAGTCGATCCCCCATCAGGCGATCCCCATTGCCTCGCCGGAGCCCGCTTCGACGAGAGTCGCCGCCCAGAGACAACAGATATGAGCGGCCAAGGTCGCCGCGGCGGGACTGGGAGCGCGACAGGCCGCGAGACTTGGACCGTGAGCGTGAGCGGGACTGGGATCGTGAGAGAAACGAAAGAGCCCGGGTTAGAGACTGGGAACGCGACACTGAAAGGCGGGACGAGAGGTATGTGCTGGCTAATGAAGCTTGCCTACAAACCAAACCAGCTCAAAGTCTCTACAGACGGTCTCGCTCTCCGTTTTCCCGAGATCGCCGCCGCGAGAGAAGCCCCCCACCCGGCAAGACGACGCCTCTTGCTGCAAGGGGTGCCGCTTACCGGCCACGCTCCAGGTCGCCAAACCGACGAGATGACAGGTTCCAACCCTTCAAGCGACAGTCGCCACCACGCGACATCGGTCCAACAACCATCATTCCATCTCGGCCTGCTTCAGAGCGGGCGGATTCCCAGTCGCAGTCTCAGTCTGCAAAGACTCGCTCACCCCTTACATTAGAGGGCTCTCCAACACATGCCGCTGCCGCTGCCACGACGCCTTCGTCTGCTGTAAAGGACACACAGCGCTCTACTGCACACGAGCCAGTCTCGGGCCCATCCAGGTCGCCGCCGCGCGGTCCTGCAGCACTACGAGCGCCGCCTAGTGGTCCTGCAGCTGCTCGAGCACCTTCCACTACCACAACCATGCCAGCTCCGCAGACTCAGAAAATTCCGCAGACGCCGAATGCCGCGCCGCACAGACCAGACACCACGAGCCCGACGAACCCGCCGTCGGGGCCTCGAGGCTACGTTCCTCCCAGCAGGGGCTCCTCCTTTGCGCCTCGCGGTGGGCGAGGTGGCTGGAACCAGGCTTCATCTCGTCATATGCCAGGCCAGGCAGTATCAGCAGCCCCGAGCGGCCCTTCCAACATTCCCACCGGTCCCCGGGCCGCTTCTTCAGCCACCGCCGGCACGGGGTCAGCCCCTGCTCAACGGCCATTCAACCCACCAACGGGTCCATCGGCGCAGCATGGCAATGGACCAAGGCATAGTCTCGCCCAGAGTCTGCTAGCAACGATGCCCCCTCTCATTCCCGGCGGGAAAGCGGATCCGAGCATGACGCCGCTGCTGTTGGGTGTCACGAAGGAGATCGAGCCTCATTACCGGAAACTGAGAGACGAGGAGGAAAAGATACGGGAGGAGCTGCGAATGAAGCAAGAGCGCCTTAGAAGGAGTCTCTATGCTTGGAACAGGCTGGAGCGAGATGCGCGCGCCTGGGAGATGAGGAGCGACCTCAGCGAGAAGAGCATGAAGAACCTGGCGGGCGAGGGGGCGGGCGGTGCCGCCTTTTGAAGTGACGGGAGCATACGTCTTAATGGAGTTATACGTTTAATACGAGGAATGGGAACTCTCACCAATGGATCCTTTGCTACTTCTCTTCTTCTTCCTTCTTTTCTTTGTATATCTTCGGCTTCGCTACGGATCAGGGTTGTATATATGTCTTTAGACCGGCATGATCAGATGCTTTTCGTTTCTTTTCTTTCTACCCCAAGCATGAAGGGCTAGCAGCAATGGTGGACACAGATTGTGCTTCACTTCGCGACCTTTGCTAGTCGAGTGTCGCTCATAGTTTACGGGATTCGCGGTCGAAAGACTGCCAAGGCATATCATGGATGGAATCACAACAGGAAGTTTATTAGCCGTGACGAGACAGCAGTACTTATCCATCTTGGTGAAACGAAAGAATGACCCCTTTCCCATCCAACGCCCTTTTGACGTCTAGTTGCCCCCCCTGCCCTGTATAGGTAACCTTTGAAATCTCTATCCTGTGCGCCAGACCTGTGAAGCATTGTCCTGAACATACTTCTTGCTCCTCCCTATAGCCGGGAGAAGCAAAGAAAAACAAAAAGAAAAAAGAAAAAAAGCAGCGTAAAAACAAATTGGTATCTTTAAAAAGCAATGGCATTGTCATGATCATCATCGTCGTCCCCATTCCACTCCTCGCCTGAAGACACGCCGTCATCAGAAACGAAGTCGCTCATGGTGAAAGGCAGCTCCCTGGGTTTCTGGTTGTCAAAGACAATGCTGACGACGTCGCAGAGCCCCTGGATCGCCGGCTCTTCTGCAGCCGAGCCCTGCTGGACTTGAGAGGTCTCGCTGTCCGACGGGTCCGATTCGTCAAAGTCGTCTTCGTCGGTGTCGGGTTCTTTGTACACCGGCCCTCCGAGCCGACGGCGCCGCAACTTGTGGCCTCTCCTGGAGCGGCTGGGCGAGCTGTTGGCATGTGTCTCGATTCGGCTGCTCCTACGCAACGGAGAGTCCGATAGAGGGGTTCGCTTTCTTTTGCGTGGTCCGAGACCCTCCTGGGGACTGCCTCCGTGCACAATGGTCGCGTATGACTGCGGTGGCTCCGACTCGCGAAGGAATACCCGTTCGACCATGGGCCTCAGCTTGGACCTCAGAGTAGCGCGAGCCTGCCACGGGATATCGAGCATGGTTTTGATGACCAGGTGTCGCAGATTGGGCAGATCCTTGGCTTTGTCAACCAGCGACTGGATGAACATCTCTGCGGTCTCGACTGACCAGTTTCGGATGTGCTCGAGGTCGATGACACGGAGGCTGGCAGGCCACGTGGGCACCTGGTCCGGGAGGAGAGCAAAGTCATACATTGGGTCCGAGTCATTGACCGAATCATGATGTCGGAAATACGACAGGTTCATGCGCAACTCTCGCAGGTTCGGGCAAGCTTCTGCCAGAACCGTCAAGAAGGCGAGGTTCAGCGACTGATTGTGCATCAGAGTCAGAGCGCGGAGGCATTGGCCATGAGTGAGCAGAAACTGGGCTAGGTCTTCAGACTCGATCTCCCAGCAATTGATAAGTTCCAGGTGGCTCAGGTCTTTGGGCAAGAGGGAAAGCAGCTGTTTCGTCATGATCGTAGAGGACTCGAAGACGAGGTGTTTCAGAGACTTGAGTTGGGCGATGGCGTCTGCGACAGCAGTGGTAGCCGCAAAGTTTTTGAGAGAAATCTCCAGATTGTGGCCTTCATCATCATCGTCACCCTCGAGCAGCGAAGGCGCCTGGAAGTTGGTGAAGCTTAGCCGTTTGAGATGAGTGAATGCGGGCATCTGGTGAATCTGGATGATGTCGCTAAAGTTTGCAACAGGACCGCCCAGAAGCCGCCCGCTCCATTCCCAGCTTTTAAGCATTGTTGGGGTCGTCCGCTTGATGAGAGCATCGGGATTGTCGGATGGCGCTGCGAGGGCGTGGAGGATATCCTCCGAATAATTCCATCTGACGTGCGACTCGAGCTCTCTATAGGGCGGCTGGTCCTTGGGAGTGTAGAAAATGACCTCCTTAAGGCAAAGCGAAGAGCGGATGATTTGGCAGACTGTACTCTGTGGCACAATGTGGATGTCAATGTGCAGAAACTGAATCATGCACCGGTAATCGAGCATCGTCTTTTCGGGAGAGCACTGGAGCAGCGAAGCCAGGCGCTTTGCCTTGGAAGCCTGTCTGAGGGTCGGACAGCGGTAGACTGCCGTCAGAGCCGGCTCACAAAAGGCGCGACAGGTGGTAGCCGCCTGGAGAAGCCAGCGAGTGTTTGGGGGTTCTGCATCGCCGGCGTCGCGGGCAAACGTGAAGACGCCGACCCAGAAATCGAAAGGAAGCCGGGGATCCCTCCAATTTGGGATGTGGTCCTGGGGCAGCTCGTCCCCGGTCCCGTCCATGTTCTGTACCGCCGTGTGCCGCCGTTTGCTCGGCGAGCTGAAGGGAGCGGCACCACGGCTGTTTGCCCCAGGCTTGCTCGCTTTCTTCGGAGACGGACGGCCCTTGGAGGGTCTTGCCGGATGCGAGCGCCCGTTCGCTCTCTGCTTTGCTCTGCCGCCATGCCCGGCTGCTATTCGGGTGCTCCTCCGACGCAAACCAGGCAGTTCGGAAGCCTGGCTGAAGGCCGATTCAGACTCGGACGCACTCGACGCAGACTCGGCTTCACTTGGATCAGACTCCGAAGAGTCTCGGTAGACAGGGCGCGCTCTTCCGGACTTGGCAGCTGCTTGAGATGCATCTGGGCGAGCGGCGGCAGTGGACTGGCGACTTGGGTTTCGCCGAGGGTTCTGGCTGCTCTTCTGAGCTGGCGCACGGTGGCCGGCAGCGCTGCGTGTAAGCGGCATCGTAGCGTCTGGTTGGCGGAGCTGGGTGCTTGAGAAGCGGCGAGAATGCGCGTTCAATGGCAGCGGGTGGCGTGGCACCGCTGTGGGCTCTGCGTCTGGTTCTTCCTGGTCCAAAGAGAACGGATGATTCACAGAAGAGGGAGCATCAGTGAGTCCTTGAGAGAGAACCGATGGTGTGAACCGGGCTGTGAGTCGAGTTGCGAGACAAAAGGCTTTGGAGGAGGGAGGTCGAGGGTTGGAAGGGCCCACCATTCGCAGAAAGTAACGGGTAGCAAGGCAATGGCAAGACCGGATTGAAGCCTCCAGACGCAGGTGACTGGCACTGTACAGCCGAATTTCATCCCCCATGTTAGAGTTTGTTAGGCATCGCCTTAGGCCCGGCGCCGCATTGAAGCCCGCCGCAGCGCTGCGAGAAATCGGGACGCGGCTGGTGGTGGTTGATTGACGACAAGCTCGTACATACCTTGTAATGCCTTAAGCGAGCAAAGAGGTGCGCCGTCGGAGATCGGAGTGCGCGTGATGCGCGTGGTGCGGGCTCGGACCGGGATCGATGATGTGCATGATCTCGGCATGGTTGATCAGAACTCAGGTACGAGTACTAGAGCACTCCGCACTCGAATATTCAAGCGTCTGGGCTCGACTTGTTCGTTACCTACCAATGCGGGCTATGGTTTCTCGGTTTCTACAGACTTTCCGATAGTATCACCTCTTTCTGCAGCTTGGGCATCGCGATCTTGCGGAGCCAAGTCAAAGCACGCCAAAGTGCTTCCATCTCGGCAGAACGCGCCTACAAGAACAGAGTTTCAGGCTTCACAGTAACAAGCTGCAGAAGAAACGCCATACCTACCTAGCTAAACGGATCTTGGAGTCGCTTCTTCCAGGAGCTGAGCAGCAGCAGATCTGAGCCCTGCGTTAGCGCCATGCGCCAACCTTGTACAAAGGAGAATCTGCATGTCCAGGTGGATCGACATACGGTACTACTGACCTATAGAGCGGAGAGTAGCAGAGAGTAGCAAGAAGCAGCGCAGAGCAACGAGAAGCAGCACAGAGTAACAAGAAGCAGCACAGAGTAGCAGAGAATAGCAGAGAGTAGATCATCTCCTGTCTATGAAGCAATCTTCTATCTATACTGCCATGTCCTGTCATGAGATGAGCAACCTGGCCGCCAACATCTTGCTGACATCCTTGATCATCAACGGAGGCATTGTCTGAAGCTGCTCTGGAGATCGGCTCGAGGCATCCTCGATGGCCTGCTCTTCATCAAACTTCGCAACCAGACTCTGGTATGCGGTCAAATCCCGGTGGAGGGCCAGGTGAAAGCGACTGCCAGTCGCGTACACTGAATAACGAGGTCAGCCAAGTCCATCTGATTTGATAGAGACAACTCACAAAACTTTGAGAGCACAAAAAGGGCCCCCAGTTCCGACCACACAAAGACAAAAAAGGCACCCAGTTCCGGAAACACAAAGACAAAAAGGGCCCCAAGAGAATCAAAAACAGATGAGAAACTGCATGTTGTTAGCTATACTGCTAGAGTGGGGATGATGGGGGTTTGAAAGTAGGTAGGGCACTCACGCCTACGGCTCATTGATCAACGGCTCGTCGATCAACGGCAGATGTGATCAGGTCTCAGCTCCTGCATTTTGAAGATGGTGTCAAAACATGTTGAATAAAACTGTCAACAAGATGTCGAATAAAAGTGTCAAAGAATCCGTTGAACAAGAACGGAGGTAGGCAATGAACGTGTTGATTGAAAGGTTTGAGTTGATGTCCGTCTAGATTGTGTACAACCGTCTGTTTATACAGATGTCGGCATCACACATGACACCGTACTTCCGTACGTGAGTTCGTCCTCCCCATCATATCTAATCGTTCCATTCCTTTCAGCATACACCTGATGACGACCTGCATGACCTGCATGGCCTGTCAGACAGTCCAGGTACAGCACAGATGTATCAGTGTCTCAATAGCGAAGGCAAGGGCTACCTAGTAGTAGTGAGCTAGTCTCTGTGGACGAGGAAAGAGAACATCTCATCACAGGCGCCGGCCCTCCTTCCAGTCGGCAACAGGTTCACAGTCACGCTCAGTTACGCAGGGCTCGCCAACCACTCGAAATCTGGACAGTATACACCTAAGTACCTAGGTAGGTACTCTGTGCCACTTCTTGCTGCCTCTCTCTGCTACTCTCCGCTCTATATAGTACCTAGTAGGTAGGTAGTACTAACTTGAAGGTAGTATCTAGGTATCCGTCTGCTTAAGGTATGTTCACCCATGACGACGTACTTCCGTGCGTTTGTCCTTTCCGTTGTAACCGATGTTTCCCTTCGTTCAACATCCAACAGCCGCTGTTGCCCCTGATCAAGCTGCAGATAAAGACTTGTAGGGAGGAACAGGGGGGAACAGGGGTAGCCGATTCTCAACTTCCCTGAACACTTGCCGCGCCGGTCGATACCATCCTGCCCGCCGCTGCACGAATCGCTAAACAGCAACTCTCATTGGTATCCGTATCGCTTGCTATGGGAGTGGCTGAGTGGATATTCGTATTGTTCCTCAAGCGTCATGTGGACAGCTTTCACTGCCCGTTTGGTCCTGACGACGTCACGACAGCTTTCTCGCGGGGAAGGTCGAGGGCAACGGCGACCCAATGCAACCGTGTTCAAACTGCAAAACGGGAAGGTGAGCGCCAGGGCGCATGCCGACGAAGGTGGAAGTCGTCATCGGGTGGGTGCTGAGTAGTAGGTAGGAGGTAGGTTTGTTGAAAGGAACGATTGGATACAATGGAAAGGATGAACGTAAGATTAAAAGGCAGGTATGTTGTCATGGGTGACGTGGACACATATATAAACAGCCGGATGTACGCAAACCAGACGAGCAGAACTTGGACCTTCAATCATCGCGTTCTTTCGATTCTCTTGCCACACCGATTCCAGACCCAAAAGAGCCCTGTTTCAGTATTTATTGTCACTTCTCCCCGTGGCACTCTCTGTGCTCGCAATATTCGGTGAGTTCTCTCCATCTCAGACTGAGTTCCCTGCTTTCACACCTCCGGCATCTCCATCACCTCGACCGCCCTCACAGAACGACGAGCCATAGGGATGGATTCCCTGCTTTCAGACCTCCGTTATGTCCACTCTAGCAGTATGGCTAACATAGAAAACGCAGGTCGTCATCATGTCGATGATTCTCATGGACACCTTCATCATCATGCCTTTTGCCCTTTTAATGGGCGCCCTCTCCGTTTTGACCAAATTCGGTGAGTTCTCCCCATCTCAAATTAGACGCACTTCGCTAACCTCGGCTTGTAGTATATGAAATCAGCGCGAAATTTCACGACGCCTTCAATGACGTCCTGACCTCCTACCGGGGGATGGCGCGGAGGTATGATCTCGAGAATGAGAGGGGGGCCCTTTCAGTTCTGGCGAATTCGGTGAGTTGTCTTTACCAAATCAGATGGACTTGGCTAACCTCGGCTTGTAGTATGAAATCAGCGCGAAATTTCACGACGCCTTCAATGACGTCCTGACCTCCTACCGGGGGATGGCGCGGAGGTACGATCTCGACAATGAGAGATCCAAGGAGGGCGAGATCTCCGCCACCCCCGAACCCATGCCACCTTTCATGGTCGAGGATGACAGCCAGCTCCTGAGCGACTTCCTCCGGGGAATGGCAGAGAGATACGATCTCCAAGACGGGAGTTTCAGGGAGGGCGACAGCCCCGTCACCCCAGAAGCCATTCAGAGCCCTCAGAGCATCCCTCGACGATGCCACCATTCATTGCCGAGGACGACAGCAAGATGTTGGTGGGATATTCCACGATGCTTTTCACCATGGACTCATGGAGTACCAAGAGTTGGTCGCAAGCTTGGATGGGAACTGTCCTGAGGATGGACAAAGTTGCAAGCGGCGGCGAGTTGACGCCGGAGGAGGGTTTGGAAGGAAACTATATGGTGTTGGAGGACACTTGCGTTAGACTAGCTCATCAAATAAAGCTTCTTCATTATCGCAACAATACATTCGTCTCCTCAAAGCATGTGTCCAAGGCTCATCAGCTCGGTATCAACATGTTGGCGCATTCTATTCGATCCCATGGCCGCGATGGAATGATTTGGAGCCTGCCAGCGCTGCCTTTCCGGTTTACCCGGCTTATTTCGTAGACTCGGTGCAAGGTTGTCGTGTAGCACGGGCAGATCGGACATGGCAACAGGACGCCGATGCCCAACCAAGAGGATGAGGAAGATTCCACGGCTGCCAATGCGCCTGTGAAGAAGGGCTGTCACAGCGCCGAGCGGCTTCCATTTATGTCCTGCGTCCGTCTTGGGCACTCTCCGTCTAAGAGAGTCTCTCTCTCTACGCTTGTGTTTTCTTTCAAAGGTAGGAGTATACATGATGAAGAATCGTCTGATTTCCGTGGTGGAATGCCAATGAGCAATGGACTAAGCAGCGTGGATCTCGGAGCCACCCCTGCGGGAGCTGAGCAGCAGCAGCAGTTGGCTCAACACTCTGTACCGGATCTGGACCTTGCGTTAGTGCCATGCGCTAATCTTGCCTTGCAAGGGAAGAGAATCTGCATGCTTCGGTGAATCGATCTGTATGCACGAGGTATTATGGAGCATTGCATGAGACGTGTGTGTGTGTGTGTGTGTGTGTGTGTGTCGACGGCCGAGGCATCTCGAGCTGCATCTTGTTCAGCAGGGACTCGGGAGAGATTGACTTGGTATTTGACAGTTCGACGTCACGAGTAGATGAGCTGCCTAAACGACAATGGACAAGGATATTGTCATGGACAAACAAGAATCTGCAATAGAATCCCAGCGCCCATCTGGATATTGCCGGGCCTCTTCATGCTCTTTCATTGCTCTTGTCTCTATCCAGGGTTTAGGTCGTGTCTCTTCCATGAGGCAATTCGCCTTTGTTGCCATGTCCGACCTGTGCAAACCTGGGTAGGTACGATATCTGCAGTTATGCTTGTAAGCGGGCCGATTTGTCCTGACGGGCACTGTGCCTGGGCAGTGCCTCACAGCAGGGAGTGGCCGAGCACACACAGTATGGCCTCTTTCCAGGTGCTTACCGTGACCGCCTGTTTGAGCGCGGGGTCTCAATACCTCCCCGGCCACTACTACCTACAGGTACCTAGTGCATAGTAACAACTGTTTTACAGGCTATTACAAGCTCCTCACCGGCTACAGGCTAGGAGGCACAGGCGGTACAGAGAGGTAAAGGCCCGCTGGCGCTAGGCTGTTCTGGGGCCGCGATGCAAACCGGCAGCTCCCCCGTTTGCCCTCCATTGGTCTCATCTACGCACCAACACGCGTCTGTTTCCTTGCCAGCAGCCTCGTCGCGCCGCCTCAGCCTTCTGTCGCATTTCGGCACTTCCGCCCCCGTCAGGATCCTCGCTCTGCTGTTGAACAGGGTCACCTGCTCCTACATTTCTTTGTCTACCCGGCCCCTAGTTACTGCTGTGTGCGCGGAGAGACAAGAGAGGGTTGGCTCAGATCTGCCAGCTTCTCACCATCTTCTCACTCGCCGCTCACCATCAACAGCCGGCATCTTCATCCTCACCATCTTTGGCGCTCCGCAATCCTGCGGCAACGGGGCGTGCTGGATTCAACAATGCTCTAAGGCCGGCCATCCGCCATCCGCCTTTTTCTTTCCTTTCAGTCTCTCCCACGCCGGCCCTCGTTGTCAACATTGCTCGGCGTTGTCTTGGTTGTGGCTCATCCGCCGTCTCATTGTCCAGCACTTCTCTCATGATTGGTTTCATCCCGCCATGACGGTGAAAACAAGGTGTCAGCGTCGAGCCCCCTTTCTTCATCGCAACTGGATCAAAGGCGCCAGAGCCTTGAAGGACTCTGCAGCTATGGGCAACATAGTGTCTTCACCCATCCACAAAAACTCACATCGGATTGACCATGACGACAGCCCGCCCCTCAAGAGGCGGCGCCTCTCATCGCCCGACTCCATTGATGCCGACCGTCTCATTGCGTCTCCGCGCACCTCCGACTCGAGATCTGCTCTAAAGGTCGAGGTTTTCAAGATTGCCCACAAGGACTCCAAAAAGGTCAGATCCTACCAAGCGTACGGCGTCCCTCGCGAGGTAACTCCCACCAAAGCTAGCTGCAGGATCACCATCTACGAACTGGGCTCTGGCTATACTCGACCTCTCCACTGCCAGAGCCAAGTATGCGACTTGGTCACTTTCAAAAACCCCGTGGGCCCTCACCGAGTCGCCCGCATCGCATTGCCCAAGCCTTTCTACATTCCCCAGGAGAGTCTCCTCATCAACCGAGCGGATGATAACACGTTTGACCTGGCAGACTCCTACCGCATCGTGATCGAGTTGGAGGCTGCTCATGATGAACACTGGCCGCCGTTGGACGCAAGCGATTTCGGCATTCCAGCCACCTCGCGCCTCTCCTCAGCCCCCGGCAGAGCTTGGGTCCTGTCAAGCCAGTGTGAACAAATTTATGGCAGCCTCAAGAGTCCCTTGACCTTGTCTGCGGGCCATTCAGCACAAGGACCCGAACTTCATACGGATTATGTCATGGACGTTGACCTACGCTGGGAAACTGGCTTCAGAGCCCTGAAGCACTTGGACAAGGGATCGAAGCCATGCATCAACGCCGTGGACCCCGACTCCGACCCCTTCGTCGACCATTCAATAAATGGAAGAAATCACGGCATCAACGGCCACCACGTGGACGAGTCCTCCGTTGAGATCGACGACGAAGGCCTCGAAGGCCCAGAGGGAGCACAGACCCCCTCGAGGGCATTGAGAGACCGGAAAAACGCCAAGGTGTATAATTTGAAAGTCCTCAGCGATCAAGCTCAGGGGAGGGAAAGGAAGCGACGGTCGCAATCCAGCCACGGCACGCCAAGCGAGGGCCGCGTGAGCTATCTGCTACCTCCTGATCAACCGGTCTGCCTGAACTACTACCGCTGTGTGACTTGCGGTGTTCACAACAGGTCGATGCAGCAACTGCAATTTCACTTGCAGACCTCACACACCGCATACAACTACGTGCTCGAGACGACGAGTCAGGGACCACAGTTTCGAGTCACTAGCCGCTGCGAGTCCATATCATCTCCCTCCAAGGAGTATCAAATAAAGCCACCCGCCAGGCCTTTCAACCTCGAAACTCATCTCGATGGTGATCTGTCATGGGTCTCCTCTCGCCTTGGGCCGGATACGGTTGATGACGTTTTCACTTCCCCAGACAAGAACGCCGAAGAAGGACTGTCTTTCCAGTCGCCAGTAGCCACGCAGCCGCGGCTGGCGCAGCGGCGCCCCGGGGCTCCCAAGAATGACAAGGTCCTGGTGCCCAACATTAAGGAACCTCTGTTTGACCCTATTAGCAGAGCACGGCTGGTGCCAGGACAAGAGGTACCGAAGCGAGTCTTAGACACCACATGGCTCATCCAGAAACATCGAGAGAGCACGAGCGACTTTTCTGACGTCACCCCTGCGGAGAAGGAGTACATCTGGGAGTGGGATGGGTATATTCTTCGCCAAAGCCTCACGTCTGCCGCTTACTTCCCTCGCGCCTGGCTGGGCTTCGTTAGAGAGAAGGCGGCCTGGCTTGTTGCGGCTGATCAACGTGTGCTGGAATTTGGCAAGCACGCCAGCCTGCTTCGAGTGCGCGATATGCTAAATGACAAGACCATACAGGAAGCCTTTTCCTACATCAATGATGCCAGAATGAGGCTGCAGCTGAGCAATGAGAGCGGCAACGTCCAGACCGAAGAAGTGGACCCAAAGCAGTCTCCCAGAGCCACTGAAATTCGCAAAGGATCAAATGGCTGCACCATCTGCCAGCTTCCGGTCCTGGGGCCCAGACTGCTGGTCTGCTACAATAAGGTACCGCTCATGTTCACGTCGCGCCCGTATCTCTTTTTTGGAAAGAAATGCTGATGAAAGATCCAGGCTTGCTCTCGCAGGCTATATCACTCGGACTGCATACAGCAGGAAGCAGCAATGCCAGTTGACAACAAGGACAATTGGCTCTGTAACGCGTGCTACACAGGCAAATCAACCTAGGAAACGACAGCCATTGTAGAGGCGCCGGACAGTACAGACAATCCAAAAAGTACAGGTTCATCAGATTCAACAGACTCATCAGGTCCATCGATTTCATCAAATCCATCGGATCCATCAGACTCATCGGACTGCCCAGAACCCCCGGGCGGGCCGGGGTCTCCATTCCAGATACCCTGGTGGCTTCAAGAATCTTGACACGAATAGCCAAGTTTTCGGTATCCATCAAGCACACGAATCCATCCTACGCTCGGAAATGCTGCCATAACCGAGAGAGACCGACCAAGACGAGGAAAAGCGATTCTCGAATTGCTCTCTCGATCTATTGGTGGGTGTCGCAGATGAAGAAAGGCATGACGTGGCGGGATGCGCATCTCATCGACAATGACGGAAGAATAAGGGTGATCTTTCATGTAGTTACAGTACTCGTCTGATCCTAGCTGAGGTTGGCTGCCTCCACATGAGATACGATAAAGATGTGCATAACGTTCAAATAAACGATATCAAAACGAAGATCATTTGCACAACTCCGAGTTGCCTGTACTATTACACGAGATCACTGGGTACCCATTATCCAGGGCGTTGCAATCCTTCATCTTGTGGACGTGGATGAAGTCAAGAGTACATGTGTCATTCAAACGCTACCGTCATCCCTTTTGTCCCTTGTTCCAGTGTCCAGTTTGCACTCGATATATCTCGCTGCGCCCCCCGTCCTTGCTGGTGGTATTAAAACTTGTACTTGCTCTCCCGTTTCTTCTCGTTGAGCTCCTTCTCCGTACGCTGCCGCTTTCTGCTTTCCTCCGCAATCATCTGGCTCAGGTCATCGTCGTAGGCCCATTTCGCGCCTATGCCCTCTGCCTTGTTGCTGGCCTCATATTTGCTCCGCAGGTCGTCCTTGCTGAGACCGCCCTGCTGGCTGAGCGAGTCCACATCAATCGCGACGTCCACATCGCCCGGCTTCTTCCGCTTCCGAGAGTCGTCGTCTGCGCCCAGCACAGGTATGCCAGAGGCTGCGGCGCGCTGGGCGGCGCTGATATCGTATGCGCGATCGCTGCCGAAGAAGCCCTCGGCACGTACCTGTCGCTCAGGCACAACCGTGTAGGCGGAGCGAGGAGCAGACGATTCTTCGGTCTCGTATCCGCGTCGCTGTTTTCGTAGGTCCATCTCGCCGGCAATAGATGTCTCGACTCCTTGCTGTGAGTAATCGGGCTGCACCGTGCTGGTGTAACCTCCAGGGGTCTCGAGCCCGCTGACATCCTCGACACCGCCAGGGGCCTCGTCGTCCTCTTCCTCTTCTTCCTCATCGTCTTCCTCCTCCTCCTCGGATTCCTCCTCGCGGGGTTGCAGCTCTCCCCACAGTGTGCGCTCCACGGCGTCTCCGTTGGTTGCCTGGGGCTGTGACAATTGCCCTTGGCCAGCAGCACCGTTTGGGGCGGTGAGGCCGAAAACGTCGCCACCGTATAACGGACGATTGAACTCGTCCACCGGTGGCTTTCCCCAGCCGCCGGGATGGAAGCCCCATGATCCTCCGGGGGGCGGCGGCGCGTTCAAGCCAGGTATCCTCAGCGTAGGGTAGCTGGGAGGAGTGCCGAATCTCTGCTGGTTGATGAGCCAAGGAGGAGGCGCCCCGGGCGGCATACCGAGCGCTTCTTTTGTGGCATCGCTCAGTTCTCCAGGGCGAAAGTGCTGATAGTCCACCTCGCTCTCCTTGCCCTCGTAGTAGACCTCGCCGAACCGCGTCAGCTCCGGCTTCGTCTGGAAGCGGAAGAAGGCGTCGTATAGCTTCTGATAATCAATATCCAGCTTGCCCATCTTGGGCTGGACCCGCTCTCGTTGCTTCTGCTTCAGCGTCTGCTCGGCCTGCTTCTCCAATACCGCATCGCGCATCTCTGCAATTCCCGTCTCGGCGATGAACTTTGGCAGCCGAAACGCCGACTTCTCGATTCCTCTCTTTGAAGACAGATACTCTCTCTTCATAGCCCAATGGGATGGTACGGGTACGACGTTTCTCTGGGCCTTGATCTGAACCAGGAGTCGTGGGTCTGACGATGATACATCCTGCCATTCGACCACTTCCGGTATGTTGACAAGAGCTTTGAGCTGTGCAACGGTAAGCTTGTTCATCTGCTTTCGCTTCTTCTTGGATAGCTTTGGCTGGCTAGGGTTCTCGTCCTCCTCATCAGGAATATCGTCGTTATCGCCGAAGAAAACGTCGCCCTGGTTGCCGGCATTGGCCTCCTTTGCGATCTGGTCTTCCGCAAACGAAAGACCAAACTTGCTGAACACGTCTCTGTACGCGGCAAACGCGGGATCATCGTCCAGCAGGTCTTCTCGGATGGGTTCAACGGTGACGGGAGCGGATGGCTTGGCCGAGTCGGCTGCGGTCTTGTCATCGGAGCCATCTATCGGCTGTGGCGATTCGTCGCTCTTGTCGGCGGTTGGCTCCTCGGACTGATCAGGTTTCTGGTTCTGCGCCGAGGTCAGCATATATGCGACACGTGATGGAGGCGAACAGGAACGGGGACAGACATCTGCTTTGGCCTTCTTCTGTTCCTTCTTCTTGGCCCTCCGCATCTGGTTCTTGGTCATCTTTGGGGCCGCCATGGCGAAGCAGCGCTTGGCGACAGATTGTTGGATTTGGGAAAGGCGGCGGGATTAGCTGCCTGCGTGAGGAGCTGGAAGAAGGCGTAGAGACCCGCGAGCGCAACAACGTATTGCTTTGGATCTCTTCCTCCCATGCCGCGGCGAACAAGCCGAGTCTCAAGAGAAAAGCGAGGCTGTCGATGGTCGATGGGTCGGTCAGTCAGTCGGCAGGCCAATGAACAAGGTCGGGCCTGACTCGCAGCTGCGGGTTCGAGATGAAGCGAGTCAGCACGTGGGAGAGGCGAAGCGGAAGAGAGACAGAGGGAGGAGGATGAAGCAGGCAAGAAGGAAGTTGGCCCAGCTGCTCAGAAAAGAAGTGTGAAAACAGCAGCTAAACCCGATCGTGTCGAGCCAAGGCTGGCGCGTCAAGGCGGTGGGGCGCGCGGCTGTCGGCAGAAGCTCGGCTAAAAGCGCGGCTGGTGTCTGCAAGTACCTGCGAGTACAGGCCGCCCAAGTGTAGCACAGAGGCACCCTCGTGGCGCTGGCCCTCGCTAAGGCGGCCACTCCTATCCGGCGATAAGGACCTCTGAGTGACCTGAGCGAACCTGCCGCTGCGCCGTCGATCCCCTTTCCACCACCTCTGCTATATCTTCTGTCTCACCTCGTATTTTCTTTTCCTCCCCCCCCCCCTCATGATCCGATAGCGACGACTCTCTTGCTCTCACCTATTCCGCGACACTCTTGTTCCCCGGGAGCTGCCGAGTTCCTCACATGGCTCTGTCGTGGTAATGGACGGCTTACCCTCTGCGCCCAGTCTCTCGCTTTACTCCACTGCTCCAAATGTCAATTGACGTTGCGGCGTAACCCAGAAAAGCACCGCCTCACAGTTGACGTTGCCCTCGGATCGCTATCTTGTCACCTTGCAGCTGTATCGCATCCGAAGCCATTCCATATCCTCAACAATCGCCGTCGGAAGCCTTGGCAGTAAAGACGAATCCAAGTATCTGAGCCAAGAAGCACCAAGATCAGGGCCGCTGCGTGATGGAAAAGTTCCCCAGCCTGTCGAGCTCACCACATCCGGGGAGCAATGGCTTGAACGACTTGGGCTCGACGCCCCCGAACGGCGACGGCAGCGGCAATGGAGGCATCAATGGTAGTGGCAATGGCAATGGCAGTATCAATGGATATCCGGCGGCCAATACGTGGTCGGCCTCGGGCCGCTCCCACACCCGTCAAAAGAGCCTCGGAGATGCCTTTCGGACGATTCGCGCGAGAAAAGGCAGCATGAGCCAAAACGCCCACGAGATTGCCGATGCGCTGCGAGCTCCCGTGTCTCCAAAGCTTGTTGTATGTCACGCCCCCGTCCCGTGTGTGATTTCTGTCATGCGACGAGGAAATTAATGCTCTTCTTGCGCAGATGCTTTGCCTGATGTGGTACACGTCATCTGCCCTGACCAACACGTCGTCAAAGTCCATCCTCAACGCCTTTGACATGCCGGCCACCTTGACCTTGATCCAGTTTGCCTTTGTCTCTTCTCTCTGCGTCTTCCTTTCCTGGCTGGCCGGCATCTTCCCCGTCCTCCGCGCCAGGATCTCTGCCCTGCGACACCCCATCCGCGAGCCCAGCCGGGAAGTCATCATGACCACGCTGCCCCTCGCCCTCTTCCAGATCGGTGGCCACCTCCTCAGCTCGACTGCCACGGCCAAGATCCCGGTCTCGCTCGTCCACACCATCAAGGGCCTTTCGCCCCTCTTTACCGTGCTCGCATATAGACTGATATACAACATCCGATACCCGACCGCAACTTACCTCTCCTTGATCCCCTTGACCATAGGCGTCATGCTGGCTTGCTCCAGCGAGTCACACTACGGCGGCCAGCTGCTAGGCGTCCTGGAGGCGCTCCTGGCGACGCTCATTTTTGTCACGCAGAACATCTTTTCCAAGAAGCTGTTCAACGAAGCTGCAAAAGTTGAGGCCGACGGCGTGGGAACCCAGTCCAAGAAGCTCGACAAGCTCAACTTGCTATGCTACTCGTCCGGCATGGCCTTTGCCCTGACATTGCCGATATGGTTCTGGACAGAGGGCACGACCCTTATCATGGACTTCCTCCGTGACGGTTCAGTAGACCTCACCGACAGGCCTAACTCCATGGACCATGGCCGACTCGCGCTGGAATTCATCTTCAACGGCACATTCCACTTTGGACAAAACATCATCGCCTTCATACTACTGTCCATGGTATCCCCCGTCACCTATTCCGTTGCGAGCCTCATCAAGCGCGTGTTCGTCATCGTCATGGCCATTATCTGGTTCAGGAGCCCGACGACCTCCGTGCAAGCTGTGGGCATTGCGCTCACCTTCCTCGGCCTATATCTCTACGACAGGACCAACGAGAGCAACAAGGCCGATCGGAGCGCGAGGCTGATGACGCAGTCCCGAGCTGGAACGCCTCTGCTGCCGCTCAATGAGATGCCGGCCCAAACCGGCCGCTACCAACCCTCCTCTCCTCAGCCGAGAAACGGGCCTTTTTACCCATAGAAAAGAGAGGATGAGTTTCGATCAAAAAGCCTTCTTCTTTGGCTATGTCGACGGAGAAAAGAAGGAAACAAATGGTTTGTTTCTCTAATTGTATTATCCCCATACGCTACATCGCATGTCAGATTCTACAGACATACAAATTTTTGACCACGGAGCGTGCTTTGGGGGGACAATGTAAAAGTGCTGATTATGGAAGGCGACAAATTCAATGGATGATCTAGACGTGTTTTATTACATGTACCCTTTTCCGGGAAAGCGAATGTCCATTAACAGACAGGAGGACAAACGATAGAACAGGAACCCAGCAGGCAATTGCCGACGTCGTGGGTGTAACATAGAAAGGCCATGATCCATTATTTGTGTGCCGCCCAGCGCAATTTCGCCCGTGTCTGCTTTTTTCCTTCCAGCCGTTCTTCATGACACTCATCACTTATTACAGGATTGAAGTTGTCGGATCGAATTGGAAGGGGGGGATATGACCGATTTACCTAGTGGCTTGCATTCAAATCCTACGCGAACTCGTTCAGCACTTGAAGTTGAGACAAAGGCGTGACCCAAGTAGGTGTTTATTCGTTGGCCTTCCTTCTTGTATTCTATCGATAAAAATATCAGAGTGGCGGTCATATGCCGCAGAGCCCAGATTCAAGGTGGATATTCATACAAAAGAAAGAGGGTTCGAAAAGAAGAGATATCATAAATCAGCCAAGCTCGCCCGCCTCGATAACCCACTGACCAGAAACAACAAAAGAGAATAAAACGCCGTCACAATGTATATCCTGACCGGTAGGACCCTGATGAACTCCGTTCCACTTGTGAAAAGGCCGTGGTTCCCATAAAATCGTAAACTGAATAACTCGCTCGCATGAGGGTAATCTATTGAGATGGAGGCCGGCTGGGGAGGCTCAAGATGCCTCGCAGGTTTGGCCTCGAGAGTGGTTTACAATCCCGCCCCCCACGGGATACGATAATGAAATGAGGGTATCTTGTAATGTTTTGGAACGTGCCAATGAACCATGGCCGGTGTTGGAGAGTGTGGGTGCGTAGCAGATATGGAACGAGTAATGGCGCGACTTTCTTGATACACCTGGTTGCGCAGAGTTGGCGTAGATATTGAGGTGCACTCGATGTAGAGGTCGAGGTCCGAAAGTCCGCCATTCCCACCCATTGCCCTGCAGTGTTGCCGCAAATATCGTACCCCGCCGGTAGGCAGGACCCTGGCAGTATAGCGCCGCTTGATGGCCAAGCAATCGCGGGGAAGTCCCGTGTGCGGGTATCAGACGGAGAATAGCGAGCTACTCGGTAGTGCCTCGTAAGCGACACCAACAGACAAGCTTCAGATTGGCGCCCTATCACACACAAAGTGCTTCTTCAGATCGAGTTGCCACTGGAGTTGTAGCTCGACTCCCCAGAGTCTGGTCCGGAAGAGGTAGGCGTTGTTCGCCGGCTAGAGCTCTTGCGGTTGAACCCCAGAGCTGCGCCAACCTTTTTCCATCCCTTGTTATGCGCTGCAACGGCCCGGTGAAAGCCCCCGTGAGAGGCAGTGAAAGTCCATTCCGAGGTGGGCGGTGTGGTTGGCGGCGTCATGGGCTCCGTGATTGAAGAGGAGGTGCCGCTGCTGTCGGCCGTCAACGTCTCCGGATCCGTACCCATCGAAGCCGCTGTCCGGTCAGATGATGCCTTGGGCGAAGCAAGGTGGAAATCATGGAGGTCGGCTGCGGGGGTCGCGACGGACTGCAAAAAAGGAACCAAGACTGAATCGTTCATGAGTTCGTATACGATGCGTCCAGCTTCGGCAAGCTCGGATGGATGAGGAGGGTCGGGACCACAAGGCACCCGCAGGAGGCGATCGCGAACCTGAGCAGGAATGTTCACCTCGCGAGGCGCACATGGGATTATGTAAACCTGCATCAGCTTCTCCCACCATGCGCACACCCTTTGCTTGCAGTCATCCGAGGGGTTGGGCTCGGAGAGGGTTTGTTCGTAGACGGTGGCATAGCGCTGAGAGTCCAGCGTGAACTCGAGCGTCTCCATGCAGTGGTTTTGCGAGAGGTAGGCCATGAAGGCACTCAAAGACCACGGCGGGGGAGCAGTGTCGAGAAGAATCTCGTTCAGTGTCGGCGGGCGGCCCGTCATGGTATGTCGGGGAGATGATGCTTCGGATGAAGAGGTGAAGCTAGTCGGGCGTGAGTACGGCGTGTAAGACGACTCATGGAAGTCTTCGAATGCAGACAAGGGCCGTGGCTGCTGTTTCGGGAGTGTGAGGAGGGCTCCGAGAGGCTGTCGTATCCTTGGAGTCACCATGCTTTTGTGATATGGCACAAGCGTGCCACTCTTGCAATGTGCGTGTCCCTAGACTTCTGGCGAGAGCGCCCTCGGCATGCCCTTGCCAGAAGAAGCCTGGGGAAGCACCGCAATTATATCTGCACTGCTGGCGATGAAGCGGAAAGGGGCGATCCAGCAAAGGAGGATGGCTATCGAGCGTCCTGGACCATCCGGGAACGACGCAGCGACAGTGAATGGGCGACGTGCAGGCCGGGACTGAATGGCAATGCCGAGCCGGAAGCGGGCGGAGCTACAAAGCTCAACTCAGACTCAGCAACGAAGCCAGCCCAACTCTAAGACGGTCACGTAATCCTGATGGGGTCCACCGGGCCAGCGAGGAAAGTTGCCTTTTGGAAAGAAGATGGACCAGAAGGGGTAGAATCGAGTCGACGTGAATTAACGAATCATGCACAGCAGCGTCGAGCACAGCAGAGCACAGCAGGAGCCGGCGAGCGGTGGGATACGGCTGATGGTCACGAGCGAGGCTCCAACGGCGACCAGGCAAGTAGACGACGGCGGTGAGGACGGATCGTATGGCGGGTGGCGTGCAGAAAGATTCCAGGCCGTGGAAAGCGAAGTATCCGGACGCAATGCAGAGGTGGCGGCCAGAGAGAAGAGCAGAGCAGAGCAGAGCAGGTGAGGGAGCAGGTGAGAGCAAGATCAAGAGCACGAGCACGAGCACGATACACGTCTTTTGTACAGAGCCGCAGGTTATCGCTTGTACTTGTAGCGGCAGGCGCAAGGCCGGGCATCTCGCTGGGTGGCGGGGGCAGAACCTGGAAGGCACTGAGCAAGATGCACAAGGCAGGTGGAGACGGAACTTGGTGGCTGCGAGCTAAATCAGCATCGAGGCCTATCGGGGATCGGAAGGTGGGCGGCAGTGGCCCTGCTCCTGCCTTGGGGTGCTGTAGGTTTACATCGTGGTTTAGCGCTTTGTACATGGCGCTAGTCGTCTTGGGACTAGTCGCACTCGTCAGAAGCCGTTCTGTGGTTCTTTCTATTTTTTTCTCCGCCCCTTCTTTCCTTCGCTCGGGTCGGGGGGGCGAAGGCAAAGGGACGAACGAAAAAAAAAAAATGGCAATGGCAATGCAAACTCAAAACTCGGCGTCTACCGTACTAGAGTATCGGCATCGCCTAGCATGCCTCATGCCCAATAGTTTCTCCGGCCAGTATTGGCAGCGGGGATTTATTTTCCCATCATGTTTGGAAGGGGAAAATTCCAGAGAAGAATGGGAAGATATGGCGAGTGGGAAGAGAAGAATAGCTCCTGAATCAGGAGCGCTTGCACCGTCGACCGGAAAGCCGCCTTTAACCCTTTCCCCCCAGCTGCACGAAAGCGGAGGACAGGCAGGCCGGGACGGAGATCTCTTCCCAAAGCTGGACCAGACTATGCACTGCCGTCCCAAGTACCTGGCAGCCTGGCAGTACCTCGGGCGGCGCCGTAGATGCCCTTCACCGCGGCGTACACAGTACCTCGGTGTGCAGAGTTGCATGATGGGTTGCAGGTTGGCAGGCACGGGGGGAAATGCGGTGCCACGGGGCGAGTCTGGTGATTTCCAGCGTCGGTGGGCAGTTCTTTCCTATTCCATCGCCGTGCACACGCAGCAGGGGAAGGAAAGAGTGGGCGGCGCCGAAAAGAAGCGAGCGTCAAGCGTTGAGCGTCGAGTCGAGAGAGAAGGCGCGACATGGACGGACCCGAGCGAGGAGAGACAGACCTGAGGGAGAGACGGAGCCTGCGGGGTACCTGTGTGGACTTTCTGACCGCTGGTAGAGCGCTACCGACCTGCGCTGCCCGCTCGTGTCGGCCAGGTATTGTTTCGTACTACTAGCACTACCTAGGTAAGGTAGTACCAGCAAAAGATCAGTCATGGCCGTCACCTGGGCTCGAGGGGAGATGGGGCACCAAAGCACCGACCCGGCCAGTCGGCGACGGCGACTCCCCAACTGGCAAGAGACGGACGGCACTAGAAGCCCGCTGGAAGCCGGCGAAACTCGAAAGAGAAGAAAAAGAGGGAAGGGAGGGAAAAACCTGCGCTGTCAAACTTGTCTCGTCCGTGCTGGTCTCACCCCGAAAGCGTCCCGCCGAGGCCGCTAGAACGGCGCTAGAAAAAGAACAAGCCTCAGCAAGCTGGTGATCCCTGCCCCGAGCAAAAGGGCGCGCGTCCCCATTCGGCAGCGCGTCACCCGACAATGATTGGGTGGCTGTGGCTCTGCCGACTCGTCACATCCCTTGGGGCCTGAATCGTGCCACGGCTGGGATGACGATTCGACGCCGCCAATGTCATGACGATGCAACGTGCCGCCAACACGCACAAGGGCCCAATGCGGTGGACCTGGGCACTGGGCACGTAAGGTAGTGTTAGTACTTGTAGGTAGGGCGGACGGGCTACGGGGAAACTACCTCAAGATACTTGGAGTCTGCGGCTCGCGCAGTGGACAATGGTCGTATCCTGAGCGTATCGTCAAGTACAGCTTGGACAACCTTCTGAAGAAACTTGGACACAAACTTGTGTTGGCCTGCGCACGTCACATCACATGTCGATGCAGCGCATTGCACCAAGACATACTCACAAAACCCCTTGCTTTGTCTTGCTATTTTGCTCTGCTCTCCCTCTGATTCAGTGCCACTGCTTGTGCGGAATCGTGTCCATGAAGCATCAGTCGCTACACGTATGACCTCCTTGCATTCAGGCGTACCGACCAGTTAGTAGCAGCCAGTACGACACGACGACACACCAAGCCAGCCAAACTATGCAACCTACCGATGTGCATCTGCTGCCACTGCCACGTAGGCAAAATCAGAAGACACGAAAAGGTGAGAATGGGAAAAAGAAGCCGAGTGGCACAGGCCAACAACCGCCAAGGGTCGCTGCAGTAAAGATTCAGTGACAATGAGAGGTGGGAGAACCATATTAGTAGATCGTTTTCGCCTCCCAACTAATTCTGCTCGTGTGTCTCGCCGGCCAGCCCGATTCAAACACATAGGTACGAGATTGTACTCGTAACAGCACCAGGCAAAGGAAGATCGAGCCCATGCTCGTGTACACCGCTTCATTCTGTAAATTTAGCAAGCTTCGTCCCTTGCTCGAATCGCACAGGGCGAGCAAGGCCCTGCAGTGTCTTTGCGCTGGAAATGATACTACTACTACCCGGTTTGTCATTGCTACTGGTCGATTCCATGTCCACCTCTCCATACCGGTCAGTATCGTATGCAGGTGCCTCTGAACGGCAAGAACGGGGTACACGATGCCTATTACTATCCTTCACCTCTACTCTGTGCCGGGTGCTCGCACAGCCATGGATCCGAATGCTTTTCGTCAAGTCTGGGCACTAATAATAGAGATGTCATCCAGTAGTACTACTACTAGTGCCAGTGATGCTGTAGTGAGGATAGTGTGAGCAAGCAGCAGGGCAAGGGATCTGACTAGGTAGACATGGCAGATGTGCTTGTGCTCGTCCAGATGCAGTCTTTCAAGCTGACATTTACATGGTCCCTTGTTTTGAGCCTTGCTCTGAATCAGTGGCCTGTCAAGAATGGACCAGCAACCTTTGTCTTTTTTTTTTTTCTTGCGCAATAGAGCATTATTGATTGACACTGTACGGTATGCAGCCAACCCCACGAAGTACGTACGAAGTATTGCCATGAGCTGCAAGATGTCCGGCATGGAAGGGAGATCATCATCGACTCTACCAGATATGCACCTCAAGGTACAGTGTGTTCTTGAAAATGGAAGGTCATGATACGTCATATATCTTCACTTTACCTTGTTCCATTCATCATCAAACAAAGATCTCCCTGGTCGGCAATCCAGAGCACCACCGATCGGTCGAATGGCCAGTACCCTGCTACCACTGCATTGACCAACACATCTCATCACACACAGTTGAACAGAGACCCAGTACAGAGTCACACCGAAATCAATTTCAGACGATATCTACCATTCATGATTTCCACTCGCCCAACCCAGAAATCGCTTCAACTACCTTGCCTTCCATGCAACCCCTGATACACGATGCTCGTGTGCTCTTGCAGTGCCCGCGTCCTACGTTGATATCCACGTCACGGAGAGGTGCAAGTGTATGAGACCATTGTGTAATTGTAAACTTGTTTTTAACTACTCGAGGCCTGATAATGCCAATGCCTGAAGTGTACCCTTTGCCATGCCTAGAAATATACCAGCAGTGAAACCTTTGCTGTCCAAGAACCCAAACCGAAACCAAAGGCAATTTATGCCTGACCTATAAGTGATGCCGCAGTGACCTTTGCCAAGTCCCAAGAGAACAAAATCCATTTCCACACAAAACAATGCCCATTCCAATCATAACAATACCAGCAGTAGCCCTTTTCGGGTCTGGATAATCAATTCCATCCAACTCCTTGCTGCAAAGCAAACTTTCCACCGCCAAAACCGCAGACACAAAAAAGAAAAAGAAAAAAAAAGGACAAAGAAAAAGGAGTACAGCACTTGACTGGGCTCATTCCCTCCAGAGGGTGAAATCTCCCTCAAATCCTCCATTCAGAAACATTCCGGCGATTCGAAGCCGCTGAAGGGAGAGTTGTGGCGAGCTATAGTGCGTCATGGGGTCAAGACCGAGAGCCAGACACATTGCGTTGGTGATTGTGTGAACACCACAGTCGTAACTGTTGGTTTGAGGAGGAGACATGATGTGCTCGACCGTCCATGGCTCGGTGTAGTCCTTGCCAAGCAGATCCTTCATCCATTCCATGGCCAGCTCGGGATGAGTGGAGGATCTGTTGAAGGAGTCCATGTGAACCACGGTTCTCTCACTGGGCTTGAGCGCCAAGAGCGTCCAGTGGTAGGATTCACAGATGGGAATGAGAACGATGTCCAAGTCGAGGAAGGATGTGGGAAGCACACCGGCCTTCCTCAGCCATCTCTGTGACTGTCGGCCCCGTGTTTCCATCATCTTCGGCCAGAAAAAAGAGTTCAAGGCGAGACATTTTCGTTTCTTGGTGAATGTTTCATTCTGGAAAACTCCATTGGCGAGGTTGATCTGCTTGTCGAGTTCAGCGAGAGCGCCGTTCACAATCTCATCGTTGAGCCAGCTCTTGGCTGCAACAACAGTGATGAAATCGCGTCGGTGGAGGGGGATGCCTTGGCATGTAGTCGCGAGAACGGTGGTGTCAGGCTCTTTGATGGTCTTGGAGACCCTCTGAATCCATTCCTCGGAGAGATTGGGGATGATCTCTCGGGGACCCTTGGAGGCTCTGAGCATCGCCTCCTTCTTGACAAACAACCTCGCGTGCCATTCCCGGGATGCTTCGAGGGATTTCTGCGTCTCCTCCAACTTTCGTTTCTCGGCAAGGCGAGCTTCCTCCGCCTGCTGGTGAAGGTTTCGCATCTCAGCCTTCGATTCATCGCTGATAGTCAGGGTTCGAAGCGCCGAGGTAGTGAGGATGTTATCGATCCTCTTGAGTGGGTTGGCATTTGATGTAGCTGAAGATTGGAGAGGTGAAGCGCGCGAGGCTCGGGATCGGCTAAACTTGGACTCGAGTGCTTCGTAGGCTCTCTGCTCAGTTTCGCGCCTCTCGTAGACAGTGGGGCTCAGCCAAAGGTCCTCCTCTGTCTCTTCGTTGATAGCGGTGAGGGGGTTGGCGTTCTCTTTTCCCTTGTCGTTGTGGGCAATGAAAGCCGCGACATCAGTGAGAACCTCGTCATTGTTGTAGATGTTCGTGTTCATGACATTAGCAGTGTCCACTGGGGCCTTGAAGGCGGCGATGTTTCTCATGATGTCGGAACTGGCGAAAATGGAAGAGTCGCTGAGCAGCTGACTGTCATCTTCCACCATAAAGGGTGGCATGGATGAGACCTCCTCTGCGGATTGTTGGTCCGCATTTTCCCTGTCGAATTTGGCGGATAACTCGCGCCATTTCATCAAGACGGTGTGCAGAGCGTCATGAGAGCTTGCACTTGTTTCATATACTATATAACAAGGTTAGCAAAGTCCATCTGATTTAATGGAGACGACTCACGAAAAGTCGTGACGACGGAAAGTGCCCCCATGAGGAGGACAAAAGGCATGACAACAAATGTGTCTATGAGAGTGATGAACATGATGACGACCTGCGTTTTCTATGTTAGCCAGACTGCTAGAGTGGACATAACGGAGGTCTGAAAGCAGGGAACTCACGCCTACGGCTCGTCGTTCGATAAGTGTGGTGATATGTCTGGGCTCCTGCATTTTGAAGAGCCGTGTGAGTGCGAGTGGAAAGAGAAAACGTTGTGAAGCAGGAGCAAAAAGCGTTCGAAAAAGCTGAGAAAGCACGAAGACGATGGAGTCGAAGCAAAAGCGCAGGGAGCAAAATACCTGAATGGATGAAGAGAAGAAGAAGCAAGAGAAACTCTTGCAACAGTGGGCGGACGCGAGAAGGACTAATATCTCGGGCCAGCAGCGACGAAAACGACTTGTTGAGGCGGCGCCGCCGCAGAAACGAGCTGTGCGAGATAGACTTCCTGCGGTTGGGGAGGGCGAAGCATGCTGCGATTGCGATTCCGATGCGATATAACAATGTTGCCGAAGAATGGGGAGGGGAAAAAAAAAAAGACTGATAAGAAGACGGGTGAGTATGCCGTTGTGGTGGTTGATGATGTTGTTGAGGAAAAGAAGAGGAAAAGGTTGGCGGATCGGTGGTTGAAATAGAAAAGCTTCGGGGACTTTGGGAGGGAAGTGACGCCACAAAGGAAACTACTTCCGCCGCTGGTGCGCAGGGCAGGTGAGTTGCAGGTGAGAAGGAAGGTTCGCTGGGGAAGGACTTAGCGGAGCCTTTAAAGTTAATTTACCCGGAAAATCTCCGGCTCAACAGTCCACCCCCCGCAAAGTCGCAGCCTCGCCGCGATGCAAGCGCGTGATTGGATCCAGCTGATGCATCTCGGTGGGCCTTTCTCTTCTGACAAGGAGAAGGCTGGCGAGGCTCGCTTTTATTTCAACGTCAGTGATGCTTTTTTTGGTGCTTGATGCATTTTTCTCAGATTGAAATGAAGGGCTTTGCGCCCATGGTCCTTATGACGGCCGAGGCACGCATTCACCGCCGAAATGCTCGATATTCTACTTTGCAACGTACTTGAGCATCGGAGACAACGAAAGTATAAGTACCTTATGTTGAGGGAAACTGCTGGGCAGATATCTCGGTGTCTTTTTCGCTGGCTTTGGGCGTTGACAAGCATAACCCAAAGGTATAGGTTTCCTCAAACCTTATATAGTCTCCGAAACTCTCTTTGTTTTTACCTGCCGATCTCAGCGCCTCCTTGAACTGTTGAACCACGCACGCAGTCAACATGTCCAACACAAGATCTGTCCTTTACTGGGCCATTCACTATCATTATAATCCCTCTGCAGTCGATACGCTCAATGAGCTCAACCAGAATCAACAAAAGTTGAATCAAATTCACCTCACATTCATTAAACGTTAAATCTAGATTCGGCGGCTATGTGTACCACAAGTACCTGTATCCGAACACATGTCCTCAACACCCAATGGGTTGACACACGAAATGCAAGAGCTCGGTAAAGGCCACGCAAGCACGACAGAGAGCTCTACAGTTGAGCAGCAACGCTTCCAAACTTCTTGGTGCAAAACGCCGAAAAATACGCGTTGAGGGCGTCGACGGTGCCTGACCCTTCCACCAATGCCGCCACCATGCCAACATAGCCGTCTGGTCGAACGACAACCACGCCACCTCTTTCCTCGTCGAGTCCCATCTTTGCGTGTGCCGGTGCACGTGCGTCAGGCACACGACGATCCCACCTGTCGTCTGCGTAGACGTGGTCGCGGTACCGACCCAGCGCGCCAGGGGCGTCTCTTTGAATCTCGATGCAATGCCTCTTGGCTGCGAAGATGGTGCATAGCGTAAAAAAGAGGCTGTGGGGATTGTGCTTCTCATGGTGTGAGACTTCGTCAATATCGGGTCGGATGTAGGCTGCGTAGAAGGAGCTGGCGTTGATCAAGTGATCCGCCAGGTCGCGGACGGCAGCCCGGTTCTTGACCGGATCTCCAGCAAAGATGAAGATGCGGAAGGACCCGTTGAGGGGGATCTCTTGCTCGAGGTGTACCACGTTGGCATCGACGACTCTGGTCACATCGGCAATCACGAAGAGGCGCCCTGACTGTAACTTGGTGCCTTTTGGCTGCATGAGGGATGACTGGGCTGGATGATCTGGTGACCAGTTGAGCGCGTTGGGCTGGTAGGAGACGCCGTAGCCGCTGGTGAACTCGCACGATTCCTTGAAAGTCTTGATGAAGGCATTTTCGGTATCCTGGTGTGCGTCTGGCGTTACCTCCGAGGCCGCCTGTACCTCGGAAGTAGCGGGCGGCCGCTGAGAGAAGAGCTTCGCATATCGATTGTCAAAGTCCAGCAATGATTGTGCCACTGCCTTGCGCTCAGACTCGTACGTTTTCAGGATTTCTCGGTTCGCAAATCCGCCCTCGACGGCATGGATCTTCCAAGCCAGATTCAGCGCGTCCAAGAAGGCCGTGTTCATACCCTGGCCTGCCTTGGGCTATATCGGTCGTTACGTTATTATTCGTTGCCTGCATCATACGAATCGGGGATCGTCACTTACACTATGCGTGTGGCAGGCGTCGCCACCCAGGAAGACTCGCTCATCCAAAGTGTATCTGTCTGAGATGCCCTGGCCAATGGGATAGACAGAGTACCATTCGACATGTTCCCACTCGATCGAGTACGGTTGCAAGATCTTCTTGGCGGACGCTTGCACCTCTGCTTCGGTGGCGGTTCTCCTCGGGCTCCAGTCGGGATCTGTGGAAGACGCAATCTGGATATAGAGACGAACCATGTTGTCTTCACGCGGGATGACCATGATGGAGCCATGCGGACTGCGTATCGTACATTTCATCTACGAAGAGATTAGCATGCTTTCAAAAAGGGGCATGGAGAAAATTCAGGGAGCTGACCTTGATGTCAGGAAAGTCGGTATTGACAACGCCATCCATTACCCCCCAGACATAGGCGATTGGGTCTTTGTGCTGTACGCCAATGTTGAGCTGCTGCCGGATAAAGGACCTCGCACCCTCGCCGCCAAAGAGATACTTGGCGTAGACCGTCTCCTTTTCCGTGCCGTTGACATGTTCGAGCTCAACCTGCACGGGGTACTCCGAGGTCTCGGGGTTGCGAGTCTGGAAGCCTGTGATTGTCCAGGGCCGCTGTATCCTGGTGCCGTTCTTCTCGAGGTCCGCGATGAAGACCCTCTCGATGTGGCCCTGGTGCAGCAGCGTAGTGAAGGGATACCGGGCGTCGATGAAGTTGGGGCAGCTGGCCCAGGTGCCCGTCCTGGCAATGCCCTTGCCGGACTCCGAAGGGTCCCAGAAGGCGACTTCATAGACACGGGCAGGCTTGTGCGCCATGATGGCCGACTTGAGGCCCATGTTCCGGAGGAGGTCGAGCGAGCGAGGCTGGATGCCGTCGGCTCGACCGGTGGCCGTTGGCTCCGGCCTGTTGTCAATATGCTTTACACGGTATCCCCATCGAGACAGGCATGTAGAGAGCATCAATCCCACGGGGCCGGCCCCCACAATCACTACCGCCAGTCAAGTCAGTATCAAGCCCGGTGTAGCGCTACTGGAAGGGTTCTCGGTGAAGCCGTACCGACGTCATAGTTGTGGGAGACATCTTGACACACGAGAGCAGGAGACATGGCGCTCTCCGGGTCGTGGAGTCAACGACAGGACGGAGGCAACAAGAGGCGCAGACACGACTCGCTCGCTGGCTCAATGGTGATTCAGCTTGGGCAGAGAAACTCGAAGAATGGATGATTACAGATGCAACGTAAGCCAACGTAGAGGGACGGATATGGTAATCAAGTAATGACACTTTGGCAGGGAGCACGGAGTAGGCAGGCGGATCAATAGCAGTCAGACGAGCAGCAGGACGAGGACAAGATATAATGCACCACAGGCCCAGCAGCCCCAAATGCCGAGGAGGCGAAAAGGGAAGAAGAAACTACGTTCCGGTCCATGATACCGCAGACGACGCAGCCGTTCGGGAATGAAGACGGGAATCTGGATCTGGCCGCCAGTGGCCGAATCCGTGAGGGGGTTCCGTCCTTCTGTTCTTGCACTGCTCATGGGAAGAGGTGCAGAAAGTGGCACTAAAATCACGGCAAAGGAACTCGGGAGTGTCCATCATGGGGAATCTGGGTACAAGGTACATGCGCGTGCGTCGGAGAGCCGCCAATCGTAGCCGCAAGGGTGTCTTGACCCAGCTGGTACTAGTGACTTTTCCGCCTGAAAGGGGACCGGCTGAGGGCGAATTGCGGAGGTCTTGATTGGGTCGCGGTGGGAAGATGAGGAGGGTATCAAATCTCATCATTCAGCTGATGCAGGTGATGATGTAAGTTGTAGATATGATCATGGTTCTGCTTCTACTACAGCCTAATAATAGTACCTACCATCATATATCTATGTGCGTGCCTGCTTTGGACCGTGAAAGAGAACGCGACTTGACCGGATAATCTGTATCAGCGACTGCGGCTCGAAGAACCAACCACGGTAACAATCTCAATCAAAGGGTTGAATCATCCGCCGAGATACAGAAAAAGGCACATGCAGCAACAGCAAAGCCCGTGGATCCTTCAATCTCTTGGGACTGCGGCCAACCTGCAGAGAGCGAACGAAAAGCCGCTTTCCTTGGCCGTGCCCGGGAAGTCATCACGGGAGTCAAGTAGCAGCAGCAGCAGCAGCCAAGCAGGTGGGTTCGGCTTGGGTGGGGTTTTCTGGCATTTCCCATCTTCCTCGGATACTTACTCAGACAGCCGGAGATAGCCTGGGATTTATTAGCTGCGAGTATGTATGTATGTATCGTATCTGGGTGTTCAGTACCTAATTTATCAGCTCCGTATTTGATCTTCTTTGTTTGTTC